ATAGAACTATTAAATTTATTAATAAAATTATAAATTATACTAAAAGATAGAATAATACCTATATTTTATAAAATCTTTAACCTTAATAAAATATAACTTAATATACTAAAAGAATATATTAAAGATATACTATAAAAAGAATATATTAGAATCTCTAAGTTATTAGCTAGATATCTAGTTATATTTATTCCTAAAAAGAATAGAAATTCTAACTTATTATAGACTATAATAATTAAATAATATTATACTTAAAACTAAATTCTATTACTCTTATTATAAAGCTTAAAACTAACTCTATAATAAGAAGGTATTTATAGTATTAAATTTAAAGGAGTATATAATCTTATTTATATTAAGAAAGAATATAAATAGAAAACTGCTTTTAAATTAAGTTTAGACTTTATAAATATCTTATTATACCTTTAAACTTATAAATATACTAGCTATATTTTAATAAATAATTAATAATATACTATATAAGTATCTAGATATATTTATTATATACTACCTAGATAATATTCTAATCTTCTCTAACTTAGAAGAAGAATATATAGAATATATCTATAAGATATTATAAGTACTTTAAGATATAAAATTACTAGTTAAACTAGAAAAGAGTAACTTCTATATATTAGAAGTAAGTTTCTTAGATATATTATCTTATATAATAAGATTAAAATAAATTTAAAGAAAATTACTAAGTTAGTAAATAGCTAAATTAATAAATATTAAGAAAGTATAATTCTTCTTAATTTGCTAACTACTACTAAAGATTTATTAAGAATTTTAGTAGCTATACTATACTACTTATAAAACTTATTAAAAAAGAAGTAGACTTTTAATAAATACTACTATAGAAAAAGTATTTAATACTATTAAGAATATTATCTTAAGTAAGCTAGTACTAGTAATCTTTAACTTTAAATAAGAAATTAAACTTAAAATAATTTATTAGATTTATATAAGATACTTAGATTAGTTAAAAGATAATAATAAACTATTATACCCTATTACTTTTTTCTCTTATAAAATATATAGTACTAAACTTAACTACTCTATCTATAATAAAGAATTCTTATAATTATTAACTTATTTAAGAAATTTCAATATTACCTTCTAGAAAGTAAATATAAAATTAAGTCTATATAAACTATAAGAATATATCTTACTTTATAACTATATAAAAACTCAGTAGATAATAACTATAATATGCCGAATATCTCTTTGAATTTAACTATATAATTATCTATAGAAAGAATTAAAAAATAAAAAGCTGATACTATTAGTTAATAAGCTAACTTTAATATTAATAAGCTTAAAATAAATAAATAAATCCTTAACTTTAATACTAAAGAATACTTAAATAAAAGTATATTATAAGTATATAAAAGATATAACCTAAATTTAAATACCTAAATAGGATATATAGAATAAGTACAACCTGAGACTTTATAAAATGGATTCTAGAATAAGATAAAAATATTGGGTATAGGACGGCGTATTGCTATTCTCTATCTATATTAACGTGAGATTATATAAGATTTATATAAGGAAGGCTCCTATAATAGAAGTATCGATATACTATAATAGATTGTTAGTGAAATATATAATACCTATAGCCTTTAAAGGCACTCAGTATATAATTAATAATTACTTGGAATATTAGAATTAGACTATAATGGAATTGAGTTACTAGCATAATAACTTACTAAATAAAAAAAAAACCCTGGGAAATACCTATATTATTATAAATACTAATAAACTCTAAGATAGAATATAACAATATAATAATAAGCTACCCCTAGATAAAAAAATAGATAAGCTATAAGTTCCCGGAGAATTACAGTACCAATTTATACGGGAAATACACAAACTTCTACTATATAGATATTAGGAAGTTAATAAAACCTCAATAGAGTTAGAATAATATACTAATTCCCTAAGATAAAGAAAGTAATAAGAGAAATTACCAAATAATATCTATTATATAAAAAAACTAAGACTCAATGCTATAAACTATATAGAAAACTGAGCCCTACTAGTTACTAAGCAACCTAGAACTTAATTACTATAGATTTTATTATAAAATTACCCTATTAGAAGATTCTGCAACTGGAGTTATATATAATAGCATTCTTATTATTATAGATAGACTTATAAAATTTTCCTATTTTATATCCTACTAGAATTAATAGATATAAAGTAGTTTGCCTATATCTTCTTATAAAATATTATTAGTATTTATAACTTCTAATAGAGATTCTCTTTAATTAAAATAGCTATTTGCTTTAAGTTTTAGTAAAGCTTAATAGATTATATAGAATTAAACTACTAACTTACTATGGCATTCTAAGTATAAGTTAATAAATAAATAGAATAAATAAACTAAATACTAAATAGTACCTTTAGTATTATATTAACTATAAATAGAATAACTAAGTTAAGAAGCTTCTAATTATATAGCTAAGCTATAATATATCAGTATATAAAAATATAAAGCTTACTCTAGTATATACTAACTTTAGATTTACCTCTAATCCTATAAATAAGTTAAGATAAATTAATTATCCTAAAAGCTATTCTTATAATAGAAAAATTAAAAAATCTATATAAAGAAATAAAAACTGAACTTGAATTTATTAGAAACTAGATAAAAAAATACTATAACTAAAAAAGAATAAAGAGACTATTCTTCTAGAAGGGAGATATAATTCTTCTTATAATAAAAAACATTAAAATAAAATAATAAAATAAAAAACTGACTATAAATATATTGGACTCTATAAAATTCTTAAAAAAATCTCAGAAAATAACTACTATTTAAACTTATTACTAAAAGTCAGACTTTATCTATCTTCTATATCTTACTCCTTAAGAGTATAAAAGGAAATATTATAGCTAAGTTTAATAATAAATATAAAATAGAAGTTAAAGGCCTAGAGAATATAAAATTAAAGAAATCCTTAAATAATAAAGAATTAATAACTAGACTAAATATCTTATTAAGTGGAAAAACTACCCTAAGAGTAATAACTAATAGAAACCAGTAAAAATATTACCTATATATAATACCTCCTAAAGGATTTTTACTAATACTAGAAAAAGAAGATAAAGAAAATTAAATAGAAAAGAATAGTACTTATAAAATTATTACTGAGACTAAAAGATAGCCAGTTAATAATATTGTATATACTAATAACTAAAGGTTAATAGTAGCCTCTAACTCTGCCTGCTCTAAAGCCTCTAATTCTTTAAAGACTCTAGATTACAATAAGTTATCTTACGCCCCTAAGTAACTAAAGACTATACTGCGGCAAGTACACTCTAGAAGATCTAGAGATTAGTTAAACTTAACCTAAGCAGCCTAAAAAGCGCTGCTTTTTAAGGAATTCCTCCTCTAATTTCGACTTCTTATTATTAAGATATTTGCCTTGAAATAACTCTAGTTACTACTCTTATTTTAGTAAGAAAAATAATAGAACTAAACTTAAGATTTATATAAGTAAAGAGGAATACCAGTCCTATTATAAGGACGACTCTTATTAGTATAAAAACTATATTTCTTAGAACTGTTATCCAGTATCTTATATATATGCCTATAGGTGATATAGTAAGAATATAATATTACCTTAAAACTAAACTTCTTAATAGCAGCAGTAAAAACTAGCAAGTTTATAGTAGAAACCGGAACCTTAAATTCTTCTATAGAAATAGCTGAGATTAGTTTACTTACTATAGACTTAAGGATATTATAGGATTTTAAGGGATGCTTTAAGATTTAACTGGATATTCTATTAGTATATTAGAATAATTAAGGAAGTAAGTTAGAAATATACTAATATATATATAAGAAATAGTTTTAAATATAGCTATAGGATATAACTAATAGAAGGGGAGATATTATATTATAGTCTAGGTTAAGACTAGGTAGTTATAACCAGTAGAATTATAATATACCTACTTTTTTACCTAATATAAATCTCGAACTTACTCTATATAAGTAAGCCTGAATATATAACTTACTTCCCAGGATAAGTTATAAGATTGGACTTACTCTTACCTAGTAAGCCTGTATAAGTACTACTAGTATATAGATACTCCTTTAGTACTTTTATAGACAGATAGCCTTACTAGCTATTAATATACTTAGTTATATTAAATTTACTATTCTACTATTACTAGACTGTAACCTATATTGCTTACTATAATATCCTGATCTACTTAATTATATACCTTATACCTCGGACCTACTCTATACTCTTAGGTTAGACCTGACTATTATACTAATAGATAAATTATAGGTTTATATTAATAGAGCAATTAGAATATTACTTATAGAATAAATATTATATCTAATAATAATTAAGTATAGTAATATATAGTAAGTTAAGATAATTAAGGTAATTAAGTTATATTAATAGCTAAGTAGCTGCCTATTAGAAATATATACTACTCTATTATTTATATACTTAGATAGATTGTTAGATTGTATAAGTAATCTAGTAATCTAGGATTGTAGAATTATAAAGGTAATCCTACAATTCTATTTTAATTAGTTGAAAATTATAGGTATTAAAATACTACCAGTCCCGACTGCCTATTACCTACCCGAGGTATATATAGGTTGTAATACTAAACCTCCTATAATCTGCGCCTACTCTATACTAATAGTTTAGAATAAGTATAGCTATTATATTTAGTAAAAATAAGATAAAAGCTAATAATATTTATAGAAATTATAATAATTAATATAAAGTTTAATAATAGATATTTTATTACTTTTCTAGTATAAATTCTTTTTTATCTCTTAAATATCTTAATATATAAAGTATAATAAATAAATTAAATAAATATCTTATTATATTAGCTTAAATTAAAGAAAAAAATTAAAGTATAGATATTACTTTAAGTATAACTATACTTTATTTAAAACTTAATATCTCTCTTATTCTTCAGTAATAATAGCAGTCTAAAGATTGTTAATCTCCTAGCTAACCTTTTCACAATTTTAAATTATGAGTTACCCCTGAGGTAAGGAGCACATTCTGAAGCGCCCGTTTCCCCCCTGAGCCCTCCATCAGCTCATTTACAGGTCGCTCGTTCTCGGCTGACGATCTCCAACGCCAAGCCTTTACCGCCGGTCTGTCCAAGCCCTTACCTTCAATGATGTCTACCACCCAACTTCCGATTGTAGGGAGATACTTGAATGCATGCCCACTACCCGCTGTCGCAACCATCAAACCCTCCTTGTCAGGGACTCGGTCGATGATGAAGTGGTTGTCGAATGAATCAGTATACCAGCATAGCCTTGTTAGCGAGATATCAAGCCCGGCCAGCTCAGGCAGGTACTCATCGGTGAACCTGCGGATCACCTTGACCGCCTGGGCGGGGATCTTGCGGATTTGTTCATCCTCGGTCCAACGAGTGATTGGAATGCTGCGTTCACAGCCGTCCGGTTGAACTCGCGGGTTGGTATATTTCGTTCCCCGGTAGCCGATCTTGAGGTGGCCATTCTCGTCGACAGGGAACCCATACAGCCCAGCTTCAGCTCCCTCGGTGATCTTGAACGACCACGCTGGGAAGGTGGTTGGAGCGAAGCGTTCGCGGAGGCCTTCTGGGAGCTTGAATATGACAACAGAGCCAGCAGTTGTCTCGGCAAACCCGTCTAGCGATGGGACCAAACTCGGTGTCCATCCCCCGCAGGCGACAATAGTGAGAGCAGCTTGGTGCGTCTTCTCATCGGCAGTCCGAACACCCACTATCTTTCCAGCCGAGTCTTGCACCGTAGAAATAACTTTTCCAGCGATCGGGCCCAGAATAAAGCGAACACCTAGCCGCTTGGCTTTATGCAAGGCAAAGCGACAAGCCTTGTCTGCCAGGGTGATGCCGCCAGTCGTGTCCAACACGCCGAGCAGCTTTTTAGAAAATGGCTGTATATTCGGCGCCATGCCCCTTTCCTCGGCCAAGCGCAGGTGCTCTGGTTTGTTGTTCACAAGCTGCGTATCGCGATACCCAGCTTTCTCCATGTTATCGATCGTGGCCCTCTCAAATTCAGGCAGAGTATCGGCATCGGTGCAAGAAAGGTCGCCATTGTTGATCCAGAGATCATCTTGTGAGCTCATACCCGGAGGCACTGCTGAGCCACCACGCCGAAGTTCTCTGGTCCATGAATCCCAGGCTTTGATAGCATCGAGGCTTAGATCCTGGTAGAGCTTCTGGGAACCATACGCTGAGCGGATGATCTTGTTGATGTCTTGGTCACAACGTCAGCGAAAACTCACAATATCAAGCGGTGGACGGAAGCTGACCGGCGGAGGCAGCGTCGCAACCCTCAAAGTACGAATACAGCGTCTTTTCGTAAGGCTGCTTGTCAAGGAGCGTAACATTTGTGTATCCTCGCTCCGCGAGATGGATGACGGTGCTCAGACCGAATATTCCGGCGCCGACGACAACGATAGCGTCCGTTTTGGTAGGGGGAGTTGTGTTGATGGGCATCTTGGAATATTGAAGCTCTGACAGCGAGGAACGATAAACTGAAGACGGACAGGTGGACGAGTGATAGCGTCGAGTCCAGGAAAGATATATGCGGCCCCTGCGATACCCAGAGTAGGCCGCTCCGATGACACTCCGAGCGGACCAAGTCTTTGACACAGTGGCCACAATGCAGATTGAAAAAAGGGATTACCAAGAAGTTCGCTTCACCAACTATCTCGGAGGGCATGGGTTTGTCCAGTGCTCCGAACCGTCACAGCCAGTCAATTCCATTCCGATGCACTGGAAACTCCCGCGGCCGCACCAAATCAGCTACAAGGGGGCAAAACACCGAGCCGAGTCCATTTCTGGCAAGTTCAGGCCTCCTGGTTAAGAGCGTTGTCTTGATCTTCGACGATGATGATCAATATCCTGCATCGGAAACGGCCATCGTCACCATAGATTTCGGAACTAACGCCGGCAAATACCGATGCACGACGGAGAAAACTCATGATGCTATTCGACAACCGGAACATGTTAGTGCTCAAGGGCCTAAACACACCAATCGGAATTGGGCCTCGGATTTGACCGGTGCCAGGTTTCCACTTCTTCCTTGCACCCATGTCGGCAGATAAGATCAGGCATTCGATATACGGATACCGAATTCGACGGTCGCGGCAAGTAACAGTGCCGCCTGACTCGTCCGCCCTGGTAGAAACTTCAGCCAGAATGCCCATGTTCCTGTCGTTATCTACCCACACAGGCATCTTACAGAAATGACCAACTTTTGTGCAATCTTGCCCTGGTTACCCCGCAAATTCTAGCCAAACGACGTGTCACACAAGTCACGACATCTCCAATGCTTATCTAGACAAGGATCAGAGACCAGCGCCTATCGTGCTACTGGCAAATGTCGAGATATCGGACTGAGACCCGAGTCAGGGCAGTTTATCCTAGCGTCTGTTTCTCCGCGTCCTGGACGGAGGACGTATAGCTCAGATCTCATTGCCACCTTGGCGTTCATGCAGGTATTTAAAGTCACGGCATCCTCCCCAGGCTGCCATCCCAATACAGAGACGCAAGAGTCAACTGATCAGAGACACCAAATTGGAAGCAAGACCCTGCGAGCCTTCACAATGTCTCCAACTGAAGAACACAATGATCCGGCCTGGCCCCCAGGCACTGTCCGTCTCGAAGGTGAGGATGCCACATCTTAGAATCTACCCAGTGGTGGACCATGGGCCTTTGGACTCGGGACCTATTCAATTTACTAACAATTCCCTAGAGGAGGACCGCTCAAATGAGATCATCCTGCAGCCTCAGCCGACACGAGACCCCAATGATCCACTGGTAAGATGTCATGAGCCACTAGTGCGGCAATCCACTGACGACCGAACAAAAGAACTGGCCAAAGGGCCTCAAGTATCTGAACTTTGGCCTCGCAGCTTTCTATTCTTTGATGGTGTTTGCACTGTAAGTCGCGAATTCAGAGGCAAACTATCCCGTTGCTTACGCATGTCCAGCATCGATGTTGCAACCCCAACCTGGGGTCCTATGCACGAAGAGCTGGGCTTCAGCTATGATGCGCTGAACAACAGCTACGCCGCTGGATGTGCCGCGCTCGCCGTCGGAGCCCTCGTCTTGATTCCCTTCGCGCTCAAGTACGGTCGACGCCCGGTCTACATCTTCAGCACCGCCATCCAGATGGGCGTCTCCATCTGGTCTGCTCGCCAGCAAAACGTGGTGGACTTGATGATGGTCAACATTATAAGTTGCTTCGTCGGTGCTCTCGCCGAGACTGTCGTGCAGATGACCGTCGCCGACGTCTTCTTTGTCAACCAGCGAGGAACCATGAATGGCCTGTACTTCTGGTCAACCAGAATCGGTGCATCTCTTGCCCCAATGGCAGCAGGCTATGCCACCGTCTCCCAGGGGTGGCGCTGGGTCTGGTGGTGGGTTGCCATCCTTTTTGGGCTTCTCCTGGTGGCTATGATTTTCGCCTACGAGGAGACGAAGTTCGTTCCTACAGCCATTGAGGGCGTTAACCTGGCCTACGGGGAGGGAATGACCACCATCGAAGACAAAGAGACAAAAGATCTTGAACTGGCTCGTGCCATGACACCAGTCGAGGCTCCCTCAAGAAAGCTTGCGGTCGCTTCAATCGACCCTACCATACCCAGGAAGACGTACAAGCAGCGACTTACCCTCACGACTTCATCACCAGGGACTCCTCATTCCTTCTTCCGCCACTGCTACCAGCCATTCCAGATTCTCTTCTCAGTTCCAGGCGTCTTCTACATGTCCCTCGTCTACGGTGGCATGATGGTTGCATCCAATGTCCTGGTCACGACCGTTTCCAACTGGATGACTCGGGCCCCGTATAACTTTGGTGCCGATCAGATTGGCCTCATGAGTCTCGCTCCGTTCACCGGAGCAACTTTGGGGACTCTCATCTGTGGCCCCTTGAGTGATTGGTTGATCCTCGTCCTCGCCAAGCGGAACAAGGGCATCTACGAGCCTGAGATGCGACTCTGGGTTATGGCAGCATTCGCTCCTTTCGTGCCTATCGGAATGATCCTGTTCGGTGTTGGGCTGAACAGCGGCTGGCCTTGGCCGATCCTCGCTATCGGCTATGGCATGTGTAGTTTTGGAACAGCTCCAGCAGGCACCATCGCCTTGACCTATATCACCGATGCCTACACTGAGGTAAGGACCACTTCTGGTACCTAATTTTGCGTCAGTCCTAACTCTTTTCTGTTATTAGATCGTGGGTGATGCCATGGTCGGCGTAACGTTTACTCGTAACGTGTGCTCTACTATGTTCATCTTCGCCCTCCCACACTGGATCGCCTCCGCCGGACTGCAGAGTGTTTATATCACCATGGGCGTTCTAATTACCGCCATTCTTCTTGGAAGTGGGGTTTTTATCGCATTCGGCAAGGGATTCCGTTTCCGATTCCGCGAGACTTATAGGTACTTTTCTGTGAGGCAGTTTGAGCCGAGGGTTGTGTAAGCTGGGCAGCTAAGAAGAGGACTTGTTTTGACGTCTGAGCGACTGGGGGCACCCAACTGATACTCAGGATATTGTAAAGTTGCTTGACACTCGATTTTGTCACCGCTCTCGTTTATAATTTAGGCCGTGTTCCTATCTAATTGGTATTGCGTACATTGGATTTCTGGCTAGTCTTAAGCACATAATAACCAAGCTCCTCAATCTTGGCTGTGAGTCTAAGTTTCTAACGTGTCCATCCCAACGAAAAAGCGATTTGTTTCGGCTCCGAAAATATGCACCGGGAAGACAATGGGCTTTTTAAGAATGCGATATTATTTTGAAGGCACCTGAGTATGCTACGGGTTCTTCATTATTTCGGGGACGGTAGATTCGAGCTATTCTAACGTCCCTAATGCAGGTGCTGACTCAACTCTCCCAAATGCTCCAGGCTCTATCTGAAACAGACACCAATTGTATACTGAGCTATTTCACATGCAAATATTCCAAATATATAGCCTTTCGGCAAGCGTTTGGCTATTCCAATATGTTTTATTAATCATGGGATGCAAAAGTCCATCACCAAGAGCGAGGTAGGTCTCCTAGTATGCCTCGCGCTAGCTTAACAGCGGAGGTGTTACGCCCTGGACTGAGTGCTGCTGATAAATTAGTTACCTAGTAACAATTAAATTAACCCAATTTCAAGCCTGGAATCAATGGATATATAATAAAACTAAAAATTCCACACTTGCAAGTGACTTGAAACTTTATGATTTAAACCACCAGCTATAGGGTATCCAGGCTTTGTTTTTGTCCGAGCCGATGGCAATGCCGAGACTCTTATTTCAATGGGGTTTTGCCGTGTTTAACCGGCGTCCCGATTTACACCTAATTTGTAAGGCAACGGCCGACGCTGCACTAACTGAGATTAGCTCTGGAGTTCGACTTATCAACACAGAGATAACGCTCTCATTTCACCAGCCGAGTCGCTCACCAGTTAGTCTACCCACGTCAAACATTGCAAAGACGCAGAAAGACGCTCCAAACCAGGACATTTGCATCAATATTTGATAGCGCAACTCTTCGTATCTTAGCATCTCCTTCGGTTGTGCCCAGCTTCGTCTCTGGTCCGCGAGAAGCACAACATGCTCCCCCATAGTCGTCACAGACGTCAATTGCGCGCTCCTCCACAGCGAAGGGGACCCAGAGCCCAGACGGCTTGTATCAGTTGCAAGGAACGAAAGCTGAAAGTAATGCGCGCCTGTCAATAAGTCAAAATCGAGTCTCAATACTGATCTCTCCCCAGTGCGATGACCAAGTTCTCTCGTGCGCCAACTGCCAACGGCTTGATCTCGGTATGTTGAGACGCTGCGTAAAGCCTGTCATCTCGTGTGCTGATCACAGCCTGTAGCCTGTCTTGTTGAAGACCCCTCCACCAAGCGCCAACTTCCAAGAAATTACCTGGAGACCTTGGAAGAACGCGTCGAGGTCCTGGAGCGTCTCCTGCAGCAGCAAGGCGAACAGCAAGTATCCGAGAGACAGCAGTTTTCGGCTCCCCGCGATTTCAACTACATATCCGCGGCTGCACCTTCACCTCCAACAGGGGATGGAGACGAAAACGACGGGACTACCGATCTAATCTCAAAAGCTGGCGTCTTGAGCCTCCATGCATCCGGTGCAGAGCCGCAATATTTTGGACCCTCGTCCATGTTCTCATTTTCGCGCGTCATCCATGCGTGCGTCCGCCAGGCTGTACAGGAGAAATCAGATAGTGAATTCGACCCAGGCCTGGACGAGACGGACGCCTCCTCTCTGGTTCCTTGCCGACTGCCAAGTTACGAAGTTGGAGTGGCACTTAGTAACGCGTATTTCGAAAACGTTCATCTACAGTACCCTTTCTTGCACGAACCGACTTTCAGACAGTGGGAGAACAACGCTGCCGGGCTGGGTGACGTGGTTGCAAGTCCGACCGAACTTCTTTTTGTCAACATGGCGAGTAGGACTGTCTCTTTGCCTGGTATATTCGCCACTAACGATAACCAGGTATATGCAATCGGAGCCCTTCTTAAGCCCAATACCAGGTCCCTACCACAAGTAAGCCTGGCTGCATTCTCCGTATACCGAGAGCTGGTTTTAGGAGAGACCAACTAACCCTGGTGACTTTTAGCAACTCTACGTCTCAGCTCTACTGTACATTGATCATGTTCTCTCGAAAAAGAGCCTCGAATCCATACAAGCTCTGCTCTGCTGCGCATTATTCTCGGTTCGATCCTCCATGGGTCCGTCTGTATGGTCAGTTGAACGACTTCGGCTTTCGCTGCTTTAATCTGTTGTTAACTTCAAACAGGAACCTCTCTGGGCTTGCATTACGACAATGTATCGAACTTGGCTATCATCGGAATGTTAAGAAAATTAATTTGAGGACCAATATCTTGCGACTGGAACTGCGCAAGCGAGTATTTTGGTGCGCATACCAGATGGACTGCGCATCATCTGTCAACCTCGGCCTTCCTCTAAGCCTCCCCATTCAGGAAGTTGACACTGAGGTGAGTGTTCGAGGATGGAATAAGCATTCTTGCATTACTAATATGTCATAAACCTCCAGTTCCCTTTAGATATCGACGACTCGTCTATCAGTGAAGTTGGAGTTGAGGGGCTGCCACGACGAGCATCAACCGACCCCGTAACCACCACTTCACACGCCCTGCATCAATTTCGCGTCCGATGCATCTGGGCGCGTACGTATGCATCACTCTACTCCAACGCCGCCAGTAAACACCACAGCCGGCAAGATTACCAAGCTCAAGTACAATTATTGCGTAAGGAGCTTGATGACTGGTTTGCCGAGACTCCCCCGGAACCCCAAAGACCTGGTGTTCCAATGACTGTCTTTGCAAGCCATGAGGATTACAAAGCGACTTACAATGAGTCGCTTTTGTTTCTATACCGGGGCCAACTGACAGATACAGAGAACGTGCAGGATGAGGTGTTTCTTGAGTGTATGCAGGCTGCTAGCGACATTTGCCACTCGTGCAAACGCCTCTACATCGGGAAGCCAATCAACTATACCTGGTCGACTCTGCACGTCATCTTCTTGGCAGGCTTGACGACTTTACATTGCCTTTGGACGTCATCTGCTGTGCGCCGTGCAGTGAGGATCGATAGTGTCAGCAATACCTTTACAACTTGCACAATGCTTCTGGCAATTATGGCAGAGCGTTGGGAGGGGGCTGCACCATACCGGGACCTATTCGAGGCATTGGCTTCCCGAGCCTTAGCTATGATGGTGGAAAGAAAGCAGCATGAAACAGCGCCAACATTGCCGACTCTGTCCATGGAGTCAAGCCATAATAACGTAGAGGACATAACGCAGTGGGCTGATCAAATCGCTGATATTGGCATGCCTGATGCTTTTAGCAGCCTCTTGAGTGGCCTTATGGGCGATTACAGCCCGAAAGGACAGGAATTTAACGATAATTTGTGGGAGTTCTAATATAAAGAGTCAAGTTAGGTTGTAATTGACCACTGTATTCTAAATAGAGAGTTGGTGTTGGTAGCTGTATTTAGTCTATACTGAAGTCATAGGTTAGTGGCAGATTGGGAGGGTTTAGTTCCTAGTGGGGATTAAGATGCTAAGTATAAGCAGTGTGTATTGAAGAGGAGTAAAATATGTCATTGGACTAGCTGGCCGTCCGCTAGCAAGGTCTCAATCAGCGCACCAGAAATATTACGAGGTCCTTCTGCGTCACAATGATCTTTGTATACATCTCAGGAAAGGCACGGAAATCAGGAAGGTCTCTAGTGCACAGGAATTGGTGCAGTTGAGCACCTTCAGTTCTTGAATAGACAGCTTGACGTAATAGATTAATTAATAAATATTAAGATAATAAAAACAAGAGGCACGGGAAAATGTCAAAACAATCCCGGCATCACTCTGACGTTGTTATTTCTAACGCTCGCTGACGCGGTCAGATTTAGCTCTCTCGTCCCGTCACTACCTGGACGCTTTTTACGTTCCAATAGCGCCATGTTGAAACGGTCTCGTTGACCACCTTGGCGAGCTTCGACAAGCCTGCTCCCTCGGTGATCATGGGGGCGGCGTGCTGACTGACTAGCCATAAAGGCGCGGTACTCCTCCTTGACTTTGCTCCAACTGGTAATGAAGTAAATGGCAGCATTCCAGACGCCCTGCAAAGGTAGTACGACTGCGGTCGCGATATTCAAGCCATAACTAACGCTATCGGGGTTGACAAGACCCTTGACGCGGTTGATGGAACTTGGGATCCAGGTGACAAGAATAGAAATGGCAAACATGAAACTAGTGCGAAGGTAGGCGAGCTTGATTGGGTCGAGGTTGTTAAGCCAAGGAGGGTTGAAATGGGTTGTTCGGGATCGCATCCGCGTGACCGTAGGAGGTTTGGATCGAGGCGGCGACGGGTTGGAGGAGATCAGAGTCTCAAAATGGGCGTGGTTAACGGTTATGGAGCTTCGTTTGTCTATGTCATCCTCGCTCCCACGCCAGGACGGTTGATGCTGCACATGTCGGTGCTGGTTCGGACTCGTCACGGCCGTCGATGGCACAGTTGGTGATTGTGGTAGTGTATGTGTGGTTGGGATGGCGGCGGTTATCTGCACTTCGGTCACAGCAGTGATTTGGCAATCTTCTAACCGATTTGCCGGGTCCTGAAAGAATACATTAGCTGACCAGTCCCGTCAAAAAGTAGTGCCGGCCAGGGTCAGGATACCTCCTCCGCCGAGTCTCTAGCATCCTCTAAGTGTAACACATCAATCCCATCTTTGCTAGGATAGCTAAAGGTCAAGTTCCGAAGCTGATTGCGTTGATGGAAGATGTGGTGGCCGACGGCGCAGTAGATGACGGCAGAGAAGAAGATGCACACCCAGATGGGAACGTAGTAGGCGTAGATGCGAAGTGCGCTCCGGTCGTTACTAATCCAGCACCAGAGCTATCAAGTCATTAATTGAGTGTGCTTCAAACTCAAGATCATCTGGAATACCGCATACGGTGGCATTTCCATACATCATCTGGCCGTTTGGCTGAGCCAGCAGTAGGACGATGGCTGGGATGAAGGGCCCGCCAAAGCAGATGAGGCAATACAGCCACAGATAGCGTCTGAAAGAGGCGGGACTGGCGCCGTAGAAGATGACAAGGAAGACATTGATGGCCATGGCTAGCGACCACCAAGGGTCAGACTGCATGAACCTGCGACGGCAATTGGTCAGTATGGAGAAGGGGAAAATAGAGCATGGGATCTTACATTTGCAACAGGAAGGCCTGGGCTTGGCACAAGGCAGACTCGTCACCTTTGAGAATTCCGCTTTGTCCGATGAGGCATGCAATACTGGCGCCGACGTTGGCAATGGAGGCAAAGATGATGAACAGGTTGGGGATGGTCCTGAGGCTTTTGAAGAGCCAGTAGGTGACGAAGATGAGCGAGATGCCAATCAAAGAGAGCGAGGCGCCGGTTCTCTCAAGGGCAATGACAACGCGAATCTGCTCTTCGCTTAGGGGCATGGTTGCGATTGTCGTCCTTTCGACTGGCGATTGTCTACTGCAGCGACACCCGGAAGAATCGGGTTCTAGCAAAGGGTAGAACAGTAACAACTCTAGACCGAGCAACAGACATGGTGAGTGATGTCTGCTCTAGGCGGAGTGGGGTAAAATGTTTTGAGAGGGAAAAGATGGAGGATGGTAGAAGCGGAGCGCGGAGCATACTTGTGTGGGGAAACCACAGCTGACATGCTGGTCGGAAAAGTGGCATGATCTGACGGCAGCCGTACGGAGTAATAAAGGAGGGGATATAGGTATCAATCCTGGCCATCCCAGGCTGTTAGCCACAGGAAGGCCAAAGGCCCCATGGAGGGTGTAAGCTACACAGACCCAGAGAGGAGATTATGGGGTAGTTGACGGGAAGGCATGAACGCAAGGGAGGAATCTGTGTATGGCACGCTTTAGGATTCGATACTGAGGACAAGAAAGCAGTCGAAGCGGCCGTGAGGGCCCACAGGATCGGTACTTGCTTTGGAACAGAGCCATGGAAGGGAGCTTGGCTAAGCCGGCATGGATGGCGTGGAGATACAGGGTCAGCGCTTGAGCCGACTGGGCTGTGCTCCCGGGAAGCAGGTGTACCATGCCATATTGAGTATAGCAGCATTCAGGGGTTGAGTGGGGAAAGAAGTTGTGGTGTAGATGAGTTGATGGGAATGAGTAGGCGAGCACACATCCATCGTCTCCAGGGACATTGACACGTTCGGATGCCGCTACACTGCCCAACGCGACCACTTGAGCTTCCTGCCGAATGCCAAGACATGTCAGTATGTGCACCCAGCACACGGGATCAATCTGGGTGGCAAATCCGCTTCTGTTCTGGTACGAAATACCAATCTCAGACAACGACAAATACATGGGATGCGTGATGGCCACTGCGGTGACTGTCGAGAGCTTATAGGGTAGCCTGGCTCTTTCAACATCCTCTAAGCAATGATGTAAACACGATGTGACTTTTTGATGTCATCATCAACTCCTACCTACCTATTTTACTGACTTTGGTAGAGTCCATTACCTTGTACGCCGCTACCCTATACCAACTTGGTTCTGACTGAGTCTGACCCTGTGTCCACCTCTTCGTGCTCATTTTCTTATGGCTTCATACTCGTATTTATCAAAATTCTCTCTACTTCACTTTATGCCATGGAGCCTCTGTCGCAATTGATACATGCCTCGACTCAATGACCGTGGTCCTGACATCCAAACACAAGAACATTATTATTCCACTATTCGCGCCCCTCCTGATGCTGCAAGCATTGTTGTCGATTTATGTAAACCAACATCTTCGGCACCGAAGGAGTCATTTCTGTCGCAAACCTAGGTGTTGGTGACTCGAAGATCGACGTGAGCTGTGTTGTGTGCTTTTCACTTCGCGAACATGGGTTTCGGATTCACTAGTCCACAAACGACTAGTCGAGAACTCAGCTTTGAATACCTTTGCCGTATTTGATATAGTTTAAAGGAAACAGACAAAATAGCTGCAGGACTAGATGGTATGCCACGAACTAGAAAACCTTCGTGCCGACACCCTGTCTCCGACGCCCGCTCTGGTGTTTTCGTCGCCAAGGGGGGCTCTCTAACGAATAAGCTTGTGTCTCACTAGGTGGGGACAGACGAGAATCGTTCCATTCCGGGTGCTGGTTGGCTTAGGCCAGCCGACCGCCTGAACAATACAACAGCATCAACAGGCCTCCAATAAATCCCTCAACTCATTCGTTGAACGTGTGACATCATGGCTGATTTCCCCGGCTTTGATCTCCTGCCTCCGCTTCTGTCTCTACCTTCTTACCCCATACCCCGCACATTGGTAGATCCCGAACTGTCAAGATCGGGATCCCATGGCGATTTGGTACAGTTTGGGTTAGATGATGATCACTTCTTGCGTGCCTCGATATTACCGGTATCTGGACGTTTCACCAGAATCGAGTCTAGTATCCAAAACCTTATGGATCGAGTTTTGCGTCTGATCTGATGCTCACTCTTTTCTCACACAGGGCAATGCAAACAATGAAAACTTATCAGGCGGTGTTGAGGTGAGGCCCATTGGACCCTGGTTAACTACCTACTTGGTAGATGTGCCTCCTAGTGCCTCCCCCTTTCTTTCTCCCAAGACTTAGTCTGATAGATGGTAACTGCCACTCAAACAATACTCTATTCATCTTGTTAAGACCGTCACCCCATTCACCCACACCTATTCACATCTTGCCGGACCTCGTAACTAAAGGAACCCCTAAACCCCAAGATCTGACAACCTCAGAAAATCTTCCATGTAGCATGGAGTTTAGAAGGACCAGAGTCTCCTGTGCTTGGCGTTGAATCCTCAACCATACACACCACATCTCCCTCGAACCCTGATAGGCTATCGCATCCATCAGCTCCCTCCATGAATCATGGCCGATGTCAAAGAAGCGCAGCAACTGACTCTCACTATGCACCAAATGTGAACTACTACCTCTCTTGCTGGTAGGAGGGGTTGGAGATCGACGGAAGATCTGCTTCATCTTTCTCTGCAGCCCCGGTTCTGGGCGGGACACAGTTTAGTGCTTAGATACTAAACTGTATTTCTTCTTGGCAGCTCTATGTTCATACATTTCGCTCTCAAGGAATAGAACAAGCTCCGAAGCAACGGGAAGATGAACGAGAAGTGGGATACCATGACTGAAGAGTAGAGATGGCTTGCGATTGACAAGCGGGCCAACTTTGTTTATACACCTTAGTTGGCCGGTAAAGGGGCGATTGAGTAAAAGAAGTGTGATTCTTGATCTCAATGTAGCTATTCCAGTTAGAGGCCCCTGCATTTAGGACCAATTGAGGCTCTGCACCTTCGTACGTGGCGAGGTCCTTGTGTAGAACGGGTGTTTCCGAGATGTGAGTGCGAGTCTGTCTAGCGAAGTGATAAAAAGTCCTCGCATCACCCCGAAGATCTTTGTTGTGTGAGCCCCTCGTTAGATTTTGTGATACTAGTTTGTTCGCTTGGACTCTAAAGGATGGCTGGGCTTTTCTCGGGACATGCCATATCGCCCCACTTGCTACTGGAAGAACGCATAGATGGGCGGAGAATAGTTGAAGATAAAAGTCATGCTTCACTCATCTTTTCGATGCGAGATGTTCAATTTGGTAGGTCGTTGTCCCGGTCACCTCACCACTGAAATGGATCACAGAAGCCAATTTCTATTCCTCCTACTCATCTTCCACTCACCAAAGACTTCAGCGATCAGGACTACATCTTTCAAAGTTGGTCTTCACACATACGTATGGGTGGCTCTCTCAAAGACACCCATACATTGACGCCCTCGTGTCACGGGATCTTGGTGAGACCACGACGTGCCCAACAAAGCCCGTCGAGTTCTCAACACGCTGATCGGCTAATTGGGTCTCCTTGATTCCAGTGACCAGCTGAAATAGCCCACAGAGCACTTACGGCCGTAGGGTGTGCAAGGTACCGATTTTTCATATCAGCATTATTGAGATTTCTGGCACAACTGGGTTTAGGTGGAAATAAATGTACCATTTATTTGTGGCATTTTAATTAGGCCGGCCTCGGCGCCGTGACTTTTGCGAAGTCTTATTATAACTTATGGGACAGTAGCTATTTTCCCGATTCTAAACTCACGGTTACCAAAGTCGTGCTGCATTCACCAAGTTCGTGCGATAATATTTCCTCTGTGCTTCCATGATCGCTCAGGGGCCCACTAGGGGTTGCTGCAACCGTGGTCTCAAGGTCCGGGGACTCGTATATTCCCCCTCGTGAGGGTTTACGTTTATTGCTTCGACTTGTCAATGTGACCGAGTGTCGGGTTCGGGATACGTCTCGGTGGTAAGGCGACGTCGAGTCTCCGCCCGATGAAAGACCAAGAGCCTTGCTGACACTTGGGAAACATCGAAGGAAGGGTTTGAACGAGGGAACGCAGGCGCAGAGGATGAGAGCACAAACCTCGACTTCGGACCACAGCATTGGGCCTACAAGTGAATCTGCCACGTTTTAGAGGACATGCTCAGTATCATTGTATGCCATACTTACATGTTATATCGCCCTTTATAATGGAAATGTAGGTTACTCTGATGATGGAGATAACACAGACACTACACTCATCAGTCCCGTCTCACAAGCTATGTGGGTGTTCAGGGGACTTACAGCAAGCTAAGCGAAAGCATTATCGCTACACCGACCCTCTTGGCTGTCGACAGCTGTAGTCTACGGACAGCCGGGATCGGTTGGGCGAAGAGAATAATGTCGGTCGCCAACTTAACACCGAACTAACGTTGTGCCAATATCAGTTCATTTGTTCTACGCATATCTGTTGCGGATCCCCTTACCGAAGCGTAGTAGAAACTTCTCAAGTCCAGACAAGTGCCCTCTTTTGAAGGCGTCCATGCCTTGTCTACTGGGTTGCACTTGAAAATGACAACAAGGCATTCTTCAACTCCCTCAGCTAGCAGCAAAATAAGTAGCCCTTGGTTCAAGCGTCGGTGGGTGATACCGGGAAGCAATCTGAGGTAGAGGACCGCAAAAGACATCTTGACGGTAACAAACCCCCAGACATAGCTAAGCGCGGTGACGGTTTGAAGCTGCCAAGCTTTGAATTAGCTTGACAGAAGAATAATATCTCGCCGAGCCACTTGCCTTGAGGAACTGGCGGAGATGGTCTGCCGACACGACGTCCACATGAGATCCAAAGCCGACATTGGTCACTGCAACGTCAGCCCAGGCACGCGCGAAAGCACTGGTCAATCTGTCGAACTCACTGGCCAATACTGCGCTCAAAAAAATCGCTGCCAGACACTGTAATTAATATAAGCGACTGTGGTTTAATTGAAGCATCGAGAAGTAGAGTCGTACGTAGCTTATGAATACCAGTGCTATGCCAAAGTCAGACTCCGAGACGACAAAGGGGGAACAGACATACTTACCATCATCCCAATCGATGCTCCGCAGCAGGACACTGCGTACAAAGAATCGGATGGCGACGAAGACGGTAATCAACACTAGAAGTGCAGAGGTCACACCTATCAGTGTCGGAACTGCATAGGACATATCGCAGTCGGTTACCAGACAATGTGGATACGCCTTTCATTAGTGTGTGAGTATGCAATGCACCAGCTGGCCCGGTGGAAATCTGGGACACGCAAAGGATTCTAAACAGAGAACGGGCAATAAAAATGAAGATCAAAAGAGGGAGGGGGGTTCCTCAGTGTCGATATTGCATCAAGATGTCCAATTCTTCAGTCCATCTACACCCGATTGGCTTCGGAAGATGCCGACAACCCCGGGGATGATCCAGGGTCTGCCCTGACGATGACATCGAGCCGCTTTAGTCCTGTTAGCCTCGGTGATCTTGGCGACTTTGCGTCTAGCGTCCACCAGAGCCAAGTCAGATGAGACAAGGCTAAAGTATGTGACATGGGATGTAAGGAGCATAATTGGACCCCGTGTTCAACGTGGAAGTTTATATTCAAAACTCGTCAGTGGCTTCCCCATGACTCGCACTATACAGCAGGAACGTCGGCGAGGTCGTGCCTTTGTTCAATGTCATATGCCAATGTGACAATACAGAAGTATTCTGGTTTCTGGAAAAAAACAAGCCAGGGCAGCGAGTAATCCCCCTTCCTTAAGCGAGGACGCGGTTCGGCGTGGCTGCATGGAATGGCGACGCGTATTCGGCAGCCAACTCCCGCCTTGATGCAACTAAGGTATGGACATGTGATGACGCCACGGCAGCTAACGCTCTTCGCACAGGGTTTCATCGTAGTCGTGTAGATGTGTAACAACCCAGCTTGCCTCTCGTGCACGTGAGAGCATTCTCTTCATCTGTGCCACATATATAGCCTCGTCTCAGGCTCACAGACGCTGTACAGGCCCTATTTACAGCCAGGAGTAGCTAACAGCGTTCACTGTTGTTAGTGTTATTTATTTCATCCCTCCTGAGAAAACTACGAAAAGGCGCTGACTGGTGGCGGCTATAGCGGCGACGGTGCCTAGACTGTATCCAGGTATGGCAGAGTGGCTGGCGCCTCTTACGGTGAAGGTGTGATCAGTGAAGCTGAAAGCTGAAAGCCAACCCCGCACGACTCATATCTGCTTGATTCATATTCATGTTCTTCGGATTAATTTGGCCCAACACTTGAAGATGGATAGACTTCCATCGGAGCTCATTTCGCGCATAGTGCTACATCTCTTGGGAGACGATGAAGAAAACCTCGAGGGGAGACGCCCTAATCCTTGGTCAAAGTCACCATCTATCGCCCAGTATGCATCCATCTCGCGTTCGTGGCAGGACGCCGTCGAGATGCACACCTTCTCCATGGTGAAGGCCCGGAGCAACGACTTGTCCCTCTTTGACAGAGCCTTCCGGCGTGCCCACCGGCGACAGGCTGTCTCTATCATCGAGTACGACATAGTGCTGCCACCGTACAGCAGGGCCCGGTCCTGGAAGCTTGAGCGGCCGCGCGAGCATGCAGAAAACATGGCCATCTTCTCTCAGGCAGTCCACGCCATCTTCAGCAGCCTACACGCGTGGCAGGTCGACCAGGAAGCGATTCATGGTGCTACGGGGAGCGTCGGCCGGCCTATTCGTCTGACTATAACGGTAGACGTGCGGCTTGAGGTGAGCGGCCTTGCATCCAATGGACTAGGCCTCTACCGTATGGACGGCCATTTTCTCGACTTCACTGAGCCGTGTTCGGCTCTCCCCGAAGTTCGGAGGGTTTCAGAGTTGGTCACCGGAGGAATAGTCAGACCACTGCATCCCAACGCGGCCTTCAGGATGGTAGCCGCGCTTTCTAATGTGAAAAACATATTTGTACACATGCTGGAGCCACAGCTGAGGCGGGAAGAAATGCGAAGAGAACATCGTTGCGGTGAGCTGATCCCATCATCCTGGTTCTATTCCATCATCGAATCTCAGTGCTAACTGCAAACGCCAGCTCTTGCACAGAATATTTCGCTAATGAACAGCACAAAATTCTCCTCGTTGAGAACGATTTATCTCACCCTGGACTCGGCTGAGCCTTGGAACCACAGTTTTACACCAAGCGACTGCCGCGACCCTACACAGCCTTCGAAAGACACTCTCAGTGCGGCTCTGCGTCTTATATCGCAGTCACTCCCCATCACAGAGCTCACCCTTTACGGCCCCTTCATCATATCATCGGAACTCTTCTGGCCCAGTGACTCGCTGGCTCCAGATGCCGCTCCCCACTGGCCAACATTGCAATACCTCACAGTCAACGCCAATATCGTCGCTCCCGACGGCACGTATTACTACACAGGGACCGAAGAGTCAGTGTCAGAGTCAGAAGACGACGATCCATGGGCGTCCTCCCCAAACTCCGGCAATAGTCCTAGGACGAGAACTAACCCCTCCACCGACGTCGATGCTGCTGGCTATAACAGCGATGACTCCCAGGTACGCGACCCGATTAACCGGGATGACATAACGCGGAGCAATGGCGGGTTGCCCCCCAACAACTGGCGTCGAGAGCTAGACCCGGAACGCTTCGATCCCCTCGTACTCGCCATGTCACGAGCTTCATGCTGTATGCCGGCGCTGCTGGAACTGGAGTTTTACATGGGCATGTCGGACGCCCAGGGTCCCTCCGGGATTATGTTTTACGGCGCGGCAGAGCAGGAGGTGCCGGAGGTGCCGGGAGGGCTTCGAAAGTTTGAGCATATCAAGCGAAGGCGTTGGAGGGCTTACATCGGACCTAAAGCTAAGTGGGAGCCTCCAGAGGAAGTGCTCGATCTTTGGCGTCGATTTGTGGGACCAGGGGGCGTTATTACAATGGACAAGTTACTTGACAGCTGGGAACCAAAAGATGAGTCGGGTGGCTTTGAAGAGATTGTAGACGGCCCAGAACCGCCCGATAGCCCTTGTTAGGAGTATCGAACAGACTCACCCTGAACTTGGTTTCAAACACCCTGGGCCTTTCGAACCGTCTTTAAATAACGACGTCTTCAAGTACTACAGCAACCTGCATTAACGTTATCACAATTCACTCTTTTTGCGGGTTCTCAAAAGAACATGCAGTAGGCGCCAATGTGGCTAAGGTTTCGACGGTACGCATTTGGTGACGCAGACAGAGAGATGAATCCAGGCTCAATCGCAAATGGACTGGCAGGGCAAAGACCTACTCGTCATTAATGAGGTAAGAAAGGCATCCTGGCGCGGACGCTACACTGGAGTGAACGCGTATCGGTGAACGAGTATCGAATATGAGTGATGGGGGTTTCGAAATACATCAAAGACAATTGGACTGTACAGCTAATTGTGCCCTTGCAGGTGTCCCCTTTTACTAGGAGAGGCCGTAAATCTTCAACGCCGAAGGATTACACAAAAGCCGAGGGAAAAGAGTGCGCGATTTGGGTTGCTCTGGGCTATCCATGCACTGAGCAGGCTTACAATGATACGATATCGATCCTGCTCTCAAGGCTGGCAGGCTGCGAAGGCATCATAAGGAGTCTAATGCGACTTTATTACCTGATGATATATGGGGTAGTATTTTGGGATGATGGCTTAGGAATAATATCGAATGGAATGGAATGATATTCAGCCTCATACAACGTCTGTGTGAATTCGCTGCGCCATTGAATATATCCACATAACGCATTTGACACATTGCAGAGCGTCGGCTTTAGTTCTAGACCTTACACTAGAGTGAACTCTTCAAGCCGCTGCAGTGGTCAGAAGCTAAATGGTCATCTCGTGCCAAGCTCCCCCTTCATCGAAACTACATCTCCATACCAAGTTGCCACCCCCTCAATCTATCAACGCCGGCATTAATACTAAAAGGAGGGGCAAGAGCCGCCATTAATGCCCAACCTTGAACCTTTTGCCCCTGTCAACCTGTAGCGTACCCAAGGTACCGTTCGAAGATGCGCCACTGGCACGGGGCAAGCTGGACATTCCGCGGCCGCTAGACGCGTCGATCATTATTCTCTGGGGACAGTCACAATGCTAGCGTTTCGGCTGTAGGCTTGAGCACAGGTGATCGTCGTGTCGTCACAGGGAATCCTCACATTCCACCACGGTCTAGAGTTCGTTTTCGCAATGAGGACGCCAGAAGTCACCCGATTTTCTTATTAGAAGAGCCAGCGCGGCTTGGATAGTACGAATGTTCACGCCACAGCTCGGTACCCTAGGCGTTCATCACCAACGGCACGCTTGGCGTCAATCACCCACGACGCTAAATCCGAATGGATGCCGAGATGGCTTGCTACCCCGGAGAAAGCCCCTACCAGGGTCATCGCGCAGGTATATACCGGCTTGTTCCATGGAGTTTCACGCCGTCTTTGTCCCAGGCAGCATCTCGGTCTCGATATCATTCATTGAATCTTCTTTCCATCCTCGCTCAACACTGCACCGATAACATGACTGGTTTTCTTATTCCTCCGTGGTACAAGGATGAGGTCCCGGGAACGGCCGAGATGAACATCGCCAGCATCATTTTCGGCTTCAGCTTGGGTTCAGCCATTTTCACCGCCTCCAAGGCCGCGACACAGTCCTTTGCTGCATACAAGAGGGGGAGGCTTTTCAGCGCGTACATTGTCATGTGTTGGCTTGAATGGATTGGATGCAACTGCATGGGCATTGTCACCTATATTTGGCTCAAAGGAATCATCGAGCCAAGGTTAGTTTCCCTTTCTCGACGCAGCCCAAAGGAACCGGCATTCCTGTCCCAGATTGTATGCTTACACGAGTTTGCGCCATTCAGCTTCTGGGTCTTTTTCTCCATCAGTAAGTCGTTGGACAGCGGCCCTCAAATGCGATGGAAGGACATCTAACATGGCTGTCTCGCAGTTGTCTTCTGGAGCATGCAGATTCAGTTCATCTTGCAGATCATCATCAACCGGATATCGCTCTTATTGATCAACAAAACAAGAATTAACAGAATCAAATGGGGAGTCGCCTTGATCGCGAGCCTCATCAACCTGAGCGGCTTCTGCATCTGGATACCGGCCCGGCTACAGGTTTCCAAACTATACGACGACATTAACGTCGTCTGGGACCGAACCGAAAAGGGAGTTTTCTTGGTTGTCGATCTTGGTCTCAACCTCTACTTCATCTACCTTGTCCGCTCGAGACTGATTGCCTACGGCTTGACAAAGTACAACAGACTCTTCCACTTCAACGTCGTCATGGTTTTCATCTCCGTGACGCTGGACTGCGTCTTGATGGGAGCCACGTTCCTACCGAGTCATGTTGTGTAAGAAAGAGCCTCGCTTGAGCCCTGGCGTAACGAAGCAGCTAACTGGCACGCAGCTACGTCCAATTCCACCAACTCACCTACCTCCTCAAGCTGTACATCGAGATGAATGTGGCCGCACTCTTGGGACACATTGTCAAGGGTTCAAGGGGCCAAGAGGCCTCGAGCGGAGCCCAATACGGACACAAGACTCATGATGAACAGACAAACGTGAGGATGACTACTCTGATCACGGCCAGCCGCACAGGGCACGTCCGTCTCGATGACGATTCAGTCGAAGGAGCCTATCCGAATGGTCCTCAGTGGGGTGGTATACACAAGCAGGTCAAGACGGAGATTGTCTTTGCGAACTCTGAGGATCATGAACCGAGCGAAGCCAACTCTGAGACAAAGGTGCTACACTAGTTTAGTTATTCATATGCCGTCGGACTGAATGATCTTGAAACCATGGCAGATGCAAGAAAGGAGAGGTAGGAAGAGTTATTCTGTATATTAGTGGAACTGCCATCGAACTCTTTTTCAACATAGTCAACAAGCTCGCGTTTATAAGGCCCCCCCGAAAATACACCTGCTGGTCTGTCTTGGCCGTGAATCGTGATCATTGGCACAAGCCTCAGCCGTGATTATACATATAGACTTTAATGGCAAGTTTCAAGGAATCATCAATATCCCACCAAAAAAATATCATGCACGCTCATGCGAACCACCTCACCCACAATTACAAGTCCAACCAACTTAAAAGCTCTGAGAATTTTAAGGGGATAAGAAACGAAGGTTTACAGTGAGGAACACATTTGTCGTACACTAAATTAGGTTGCCTCTCACAGTCTCCGATTGCCAATCTCTGTTTAAATCGTATCAGTAGAAGTACGAGGCAAAATGGAGAAGGACTTGCTAATCTTGGGTTATGCGGAAGTTGAGGTTTGAATGGCACAGTCAAGACCGAAATTTTTATCCATTTATATCGCTGTTATTGCTGAAGTTGGCGAGTTGTGATAATATATCCATGTAATTTTCCTTCTGGTAAAGGGCGCATTCACTTTGGTTATAGGACGAACAAAGCACGGACAAAGACAAGGGAAGCCTGTCGCCATCTACGAATACCCAAAGCCTAAGGTCCTGATCGGCGACGCCGGTGAAGTCAAATTGGATAAGTCTTTTTGTGCAGAAGTCACATCCGGACAACGCGTTTCCTCGTTTGCCCTATACTTCCGTGCGTAATGCAGACCCCCTTCCTCCTTGCATGAACCCTTAGAATGTGGCTTTTCTTGATGTACCACGCCAAGCAGGGGGTCTAAAGTGGCATAGGTGCCAAGGAAATGCTTTTGATCCAAGGATTGGCCCAAGCGCAGAAGCTGCGGTCAAAAGCGATCTTTGCATCTTGTATGCGAAACTTGATGTTATTTGAGCTACTTTAAAGACAGCCAGAAGCTATCGTGAGGTTGTTGAAGAAATTGATGTGGAAGATATTGCAAAGATGACTGCGAAGGTAGTTGGAAGGCATTGAAGCTTGTATATGAGCAAGTTTGGCAGGCTGCTGTGAAACGTCTCGTGTTGTTGGCTGCAAGTTGGAAGCGCAGGGCCCTCCTGACAGCAGGTTACTATGATTGCTGGGCTGCAGAAATAGCAGTTCTGCCTCCAAATGTGTAAGAGGGTACACATGTCCAGCGATAAACTTTACACTAGAATTGTGTGGCGGATGTATCTTTTTGAGTCCTCTTACCCCTGTCTAAATTTGACCGACGTCGCCGAGCAGGGACCTAATTTGCAAAAATAGAACAGCCGCCGAATGCTGTGTTCCGCTTCCTGATGAGCTTTATCCAAATTTATTTCGTCAAAAGTCAGACGAACTAGGCCAGTTGCCTGCCGTAGAGATTGCACAGACCTTTCGGTGGCGCAATCCGTTGAGTAGGGTAACATGGAGGCATCCTAGAGCCGGGGAAGCCTCCAAATCAGCCGAGATACGCGATACTACATTGGGCCGGTTCCTGACTCGTAGCAAGGAGGGAATTGCCCTCCAGTCAATGCGCAAGGCGCTTACTACGATGTAATAAGTTACTGCAGTAAGCTGGGAGAAAGTATATCGGCTCACTTATCCGGGCATGATCAGAAGACAGATGTTGCTCTTTCAACTCAAGTATTGGAGCCAGATGATGCCTTTTTTAGCTGCTTGCTGGAATCAGAAAACTGGACCACCGAACTTGATGATATTGGGCTGATTTGAAAGATCAGAAGACTGAGACGGCCATTGTAATACAATTTCCAGTGTACGCGAACGATATAGCTACCTATTTGCAAATATGAATTTTACTATCGGTCACACCTTTCCCTCCCATAATTCACAGGTGTCACTATCAAATAGAAAACTCAAACGCATAAGCTGTGTACACATCCGTCTGGTAGATGGGGAATGACACCGAGTTACCAGTATACGGATGTCCATATACCCCCAAGTCAGTCGGCGCGTCCAACTCGGCATAGTGGTCGTCCGAGCCCGGGAAACCGTACGTGTGGATCTGGAGCGTGCCGCTTGTTGGAAGTCCAACAGCCGAGAGCTGTGAAAGCTGAATGTTGAAGGTTCCCGTAGCCACGCGCGAACCGACAAGTAAGCGAACCTTGTTAGAGCCAACGACTGCGTAGACTTCGCCTCGGAGGTCTGCGGTTGGGTCTGTCGACACACGAGTGCCGGTCATGTTCTTCGCGTAGTAGTGGTACACCTGCCAGGATCCGGTAGGCCAGTAACCACCCGCTGTGTAGCTGTAAGAGGAATCAGATGCATGAGGTTTGCCCAACAGGCCCGCCATGAAGTCATGAAGGGCATTTCCAGAAAGCCAGTTTCCACGAAGGCCGTAAGCGTTGACGCGTTCCAGCTGAGCAATCCACCACGCACTGCCAGCAGGGCCTTGTTCTGACCAAACGCCATACTCGTTGATATTAACAACGTGGTCGGTAGCTAGTCCATTGTTGCGTAGAATGGTTTGGTAGGTCGAAACTGATGACTGCATGTCGCCGCCGCCTCCTTCCATGTGCCAGCTGTATTGAGTGGGGATGCTTCCATTCTTTGCAATGAAAGACGCCCAGTTAGTCCACCAGGTGTTGGACAAGTCTGGAGCGCCAGCATAGGAAGGCCCAGATGTTGTGCACTGAGGAAGATCTCGCCTGGGAAGTCAATATTAGTATCAGAGATTGGAGACGTAGAACAAGAGGTAACATATAGGGGAGGAGGGATGGTTCTAGAACAACTCACTTGAATCTGTAATAAGTTCTTCCCCAGAGGTCAAGGTACTGTGATTGAGGTCGATTCCAGAAGGCCTTTCCATCAGGCTCATTCCAGATGTCAATGACGACATTGTCAATCATGTTGTTCGCCTTCATGTCCGAGATGAGCTGAGTGAGGTACGCATCATAGTTGGACCAATCCCCGTTGTCGCCAGGGTAAGCTACGGTTGAAGCTTGCGTGCCATCTGCACCCCAGATGTCATGAGGTAAGAGAATGAATGTTCCTCCATATTTTCTCGTGGTTTTATAATTGTTGAGGGCGGATTGAAACCGAGTCTAAGTAGACAAAGGCATTAGGATGATAAATAGCCACAATGCTTCCACGCAGATACTCACCTTGTAGCCAGCGAGTGAACCTATCCAGCCTTGGCCAGCGGTTTGAGCTCCACCAGCTCTGCTATACTTGAAATTAATTCCAGTGTAATACCTATCTGGAATTTGATTCTGCTGATCCGGAATTCCGTACAAAATTCCAGATGCAAGTTGCTGCGGGCTTCCTGAGGACTTGTCCAGATGAACCACAGCAGTGCCCCCGACTGTGGTGCGTTTATTCAAGACGCCACCAGCAGCGGTGTGGGCTAGGTAAAGCAAGACAAGAGCAGATGGAGATAGAAACATGATGGGCTGATGGAGGCTTGTATAAGCACAAGAATGAGCTTGATTGCATAAAAGATGACAAGATGCTAAGGCCTTGTTCACTTGATAAGAGCTTGATATGTGGCTTGCCAAGAAATGAATACATATATATATATATATTTATCATGAGGGCTAATAAACCTGCTGAATCTGGGGAAATGAGTGCGGGGTGCGGGGAGGACAGAAAACGTCATGTGCGATTTTTTTGTGCTCCGGTGGGCAAACCTCACCCGAAGAGGCAATTCCCAACTACAATGGCCTGTTCCTGGAATGGGTCCGGTGGGATACTCCGGTGGGTTATCCTAGTCACATATCCCGGCGGGGGCTCCGGTGGATTGTATTGGCGGACCAGTTAACAGTCGAGCGGGTGACGATCCCAAGCTCGTATTTGTGAGGTTGTTTAGGCTTTGTGGTGGATCTCAATTTGGTGAAGGCAATAGTGTTCAAAGCGATGATGTTGTCGATGATTGCTTGGGCCCGGATTGATCGGGCTGGTCAAGGAGGGGTTTCCGACACCACCTGCAACTAACGTTGTAATATCAATTTGTCAGAGATTTTATAATACATGGTCATCTTCCAACAATTTGCATTTATTATCCAGTCATCTCATCTCTATTGGATCTGCTGACTGACACTCCATTTTTCTTTCTTGATTTCGTAAACTTCTGGATGCTGGCTTAAGGAGTAGGAAAGAAGAGCGTATTAAAGCAGTGTATGGCAGAGGTCAGTTTCATCAGCATTGTTCATGCCATGACATTCATTTACCTTTCTGCAGCAGAGACTCAATAAACTTGGTCTGGCTGAGTCGCGAAAGAGAACCCACACAACTATGAGCGAATCGCATTGATTATCATCATCACGCTAGCGCACCTCTGGAGGGCTTCACCGACTTCTGCATGTGTCGAGCTGGGAGAGGCCTCGGTGTACTCGCAACCAACTACATATGCTGTCAGTCGTTGCTAGCACCGTACTGTTTCTCGTAAGCGAGTATGGCCGGTGAGAGAGACATGGATGCCACATCGTAGTAGACGCTCACTTGGTGAGACATTGAGCTTCTGCAACTTTAATATCTGCCGACCTAGCTTGGCATCCAATATCCCGGAGGTTTATAAGAATGTAACCCACCCCTCCCTGGCTGGTACCCTGCCAGCAGCATGGCCTGCTGATTGGATTAAATCCCTTGACCTCTAACTCAAGTGCTGAAGACAGAGACACACGTCCGCAACAGCCGGGCGCGGCACAACTCAATTGACTGCCATGAACCCTTGACTAAATTATTAACAGAGTACGTGATATCACTGAGATTAGTCGCACCTCAAACCTCAAAGTCAAAACCAAATCCGAAAGTCACTGTTAGCAATATTAAAATTGGAGAAATTGACTCTACCTTCTCCATGAGTTTGCTGTGTCCAGGCGACATCTTGTCGGGGTTGATCAGAAGGGAAGCCCATCGTCACCGTTATCTCTACCAGCACTCTCTATATTCATCACAGCCTCAATCCAATTATCAAGATCGATTTCTTTTTCATCACGAATAAGTTCGAGCGAATCTAGTAGATCATCAGGAAATGTTTTTGGTCTGCTCGCTTACCCTACACCTGAAATTTCCGATTATGACGGGGGTCGGGAAATACAAAATCCGCAGGTATGACCGTGGCGCAGCGCGACAATTGATATCTGCCTAAGATAGGTCTCATCAATCAATCAACTTTTTGTTCAATCATCTTTTCGTTCCTCCAGTTATAATCCCAAGTGAATACCATCTGGACAGCCGTCGCCGAGAATTTTACGTCAAAGCAAGCGCGACAAATTCCTGCCTACTTCCCTATCCTGAATGGTATCGCGAATCTCTAATTACTTCTCGAGGGCCTCAGTCGCAACAAGCCCCGGCAATGTCTGAGGATTCGCATTCATCTCAATCACCGCAGCCGCCTTCCGGCTCCGACTCAGGCTCAGGCTCGTTGGCACCATCACCGCTATCTTGCTATTTGTGCAAGACGCGGAAATTGAGATGCGACAGAACTCAGCCCATTTGTGGGCGTTGTGCTAACGCAGGGGAGCGCTGCGACTATCCATCAGCACGGAAACGCCCCGTCATGCCTGTTACGAGACCGGGAGTGCGCAACTTGAAAGCAAAGATCCGTAAGTCAAAGCGGGCTAGACAGACTTTCGTGTCGTATGTTGTTGACATAATCGGCAGAGGAACTGGAGGATAGGTTGGAGGCTCAAAACACATCCCCCGAATCTGGGTACTCCAACACAGAGCTCATCGACACTGGCCGGTTCGACCAATTGCCACCGCCACATATAGTGGAGGAGCTGTAAGTGAATGTAGTAATATTATGTACACGGGCCGTAGACTAACTGTAGCTGCTAGTACGTCAATATACTTCACCAAATTGCAGTCAGACTCTTTCATGATCCACGGAGAGAGGTACGTTGCCTCGCTCTACAAGCCTGCGCATATGCAGCCACCTATGTGCTTGCAGTATGCCATCCTGGCGGCTGGGGCGAGTGCATCTCAGACATACAAACACTTGGCCGACGCCTTCTACGGACGTGCACGTCAGTACATCCAGACAGATGAGATGAAGGTTGGTGGGCATTGAGCGATTTTTTCTTATTTACGGCTGCCCACTCCCTACAGCGCGGGGCCATTTCTTCTCGCAGAACAGGATTAATGTTCCAATAGGACGACAGCCATCAAATCTCTCTCCCTCATGTTCAAGCTTGGGTTCTCATTAGTCATTTTGAGGCGCAGCATTTGTGGTTTTCCCGAGCGTCCATGAGCATAGCCAGGGCCGTTCGTTTAGGCCAAATTCTCGGACTCCACAGGTTGGATGGTAAGAACGTCGCCGGTTTAACGCTGCCGCCAGCAACGGACTTTACCGAGGAGGAAGAACGCAGGAAGACCTTCTGGGTTATGTTCTGCACCGATCGAATCACGAGCAGCACAGGTGGCTGGCCCACACTGATGGATGCGCGCAGTGTGAGCTCCAGATCTGAAATTGGGCATCAACTTATGCTGACAGCTACGAATAGATCCAAACGAGGCTCCCAACTTCCGTTGATGCGTTCCTATATAGCATTCCGGTGGCGTCTATAACACTCAAGCAGGCCCTCGAACAAGACATGTGGGAACTTTCCACCAGTGCTTGTAGGGTGGTGGCTGTTCACCTGTTTAACGAGTGCTTCAACTTTTCCAGGGGCGGCGACGACGACGCCGACAACGATGTCAGGCAGCAGCTTCAAAAGCTTGACAATAGCCTCACCAAAGCCTTCGAAACGCTGCCGTATCATCTGCGGTGCCCCGAGAACATGGAAGACGCCGACGCCGTCTTCATCAATCTTCAGTTGCACACCGCCTTGATCTGCATCCACCGCGCGGCGACGACGAGGTCACAAATGGACATGGGCACACTGCCGCAAATCCATGAGAGGGTCTCGGTTTCCGCAGTCAAAATCATGACAATTGTGGCACTGGTGGCAGATATCGCTACGAGCTTCCGCAACCCGCTAATTTCGTTTGCCACGTATATCGCAGCGTCATTCTTCCTGACCGACTTTTTAGCATCGGGAAACCGCCAAAGCGAGGAGAACCTCACAGCTCTCACAAACTTGATGATAGACGTCGGGAAAACGAATGCCTTTACGGCGTCGCTCGCTGTCCGGTTGGCGCAGGCACTGAGCACGTCTGGAGTTGATCCGAGGGCTGTTGAAAAGGTCAGTAAACCCATGTTTTGCGTCTCGTCATGATGAAAGTTTCGAGCTGATCAGCTTGCGATTAGGTTGAGATGTTGATGGCTGACCTCACAATTCCTGGGCAAGAAGACGAGGAAAATGGCATCGTCATATTATGTCCTTCGACCAGTCAGCCTAGCCATCTTGATTTCGGAGAGAGATCGTCATTGCAGTGAAGTACGGCCAAAGTAAGCAAATTGATAAGCCATTTATAATTAGCCGGGATAATCAGCCGGTCATATCGGGGTCCGATGTGTCTGGGATTGACATCTCGGTGTTGTTTAACAAGTCCGATTGTCTCCACATTCCCCACCTCGGATGTCCGTAAGCTGTCAAGCTGCGCAAGAGGCATTATCACGTCAATCAGAATTTGACGATAAAATCATGGCAACTCGCACTCAAAGAGGGAACATGCCATCGAGAAACCTGAGGCTGTGGACCATCTACTTTGACCATGTTCCCTACAAAGACCCTCTCGGCCGTATTTGGCCTACTTGTAAACCTCTCAGCCGTTGTGGCCTCCTCACACGGGACCCCGAAGGGCCCTCGTGTCAAATTGGACTACGCTACCTATGTTGGTAAATCCCTTAGAAATGGCGTGGACCAGTTTCTTGGCATGAGGTATGCCGCAGCGCCTGTGGGAGACCTTCGGTGGCGAGCCCCAGCACCACCAGAAAAGCAGGGAGTTGAACTGGCACAAGAAGTAAACGACTCAGCCCAAGATCTCGAACAAGATACTGACCCTGTCATAGTTCAAGAACTTCTGTATCGGAACCAGCGAAAAAGAAGCATCTGGAGTCGGCGAAGACTGTCTTTACGTCAACCTATGGAAGCCCACCGATGCTACACGCGAGTCAAAGCTACCAGTCTGGGTTTTTATTCAAGGCGGAGGTAGGACCATCCTTCTTCCCAGAGCCACCAATGAAGACTCCATACTCACGTTATTCTACAGGATATAACCAAAATTGGAGCCCTAACTACAACGGCTCCGAGGTGGTTGAGACATCAGGCCACAATATCATCCAAATAAATTTCAACTATCGTGTCGGTGTATACGGCTTCTTTGCGGGTAAAGCTGTCGAAGAGTATGGAGACCTGAACAACGGTCTTCGTGACCAGCTTACTTTACTTCAATGGGTCCAGGAAAACATTTGCGAGGCAAGAGTAGTCTGCCAACCGCTAATGTGTGCAAACTGTTAACGTATCTCTAGTTCGGTGGTGATCCAGAACACGTTGTGATCCACGGCAGCTCAGCCGGTGCTGGCTCTGTCGCACTGCATCTCATCTCGCCAAAACCTGCGACTGCAACGCTGTTCGCCGGCGGCATCATGGAATCCGTCTTCGTCCCGCAACAACCCCGAAAGACTGAATTAGAATGGCAGTACGACCGCTTCGTTGAGCAGCTGGGCTGTGCTAGTGACACCGCAGAGCAGGAGATGATGTGTCTTCGTAGCAGAGATACGAACGTAACCCAGGAAGCGAATGTGCCCAGTCCATTCCCCGAATCAAGCGGAGCGCCGTTTTGGTACTGGGTCCCAGTCATTGATGGAGATCTCATCCCTGACGAGCCTCTGGAACTGTTCGCCCGAGGCGAGTTCACCAAGGTTCCCATGATTATCGGTAATAATCAGAACGGTGAGTCTTGGGAGACTTTAAGACGCTCTTCTTAAATGCGTTTGCTAACCCACTACAATAGAGGGTGTCTTCTTCGTCCCCCAAGCTTCCACCGCCCAAGAAGTCATCACCTTCATGAACGACAATTATCCTCGCTTAACAAGCGACGACGATGCAAATATTGCCGAATATTATCCTCTCTCGGATCCCGCGCCTCCTAACGCACCCTATTTCGCGTCTGTCGAACAAGCCTACGGCGAATCAACCCTCATCTGCCCAGCCATCTCCATACTCGAAGCCATCCGCAGCGCAGATGCTGAACCTGCGTGGTCCTATCGTAACCACATATACGATGATTTCTACGCTTCCATTGGTTTTGGAACACCTCACGGCTATGAAGAGGGTGCCATATTTGGCCCCAATAACACGAATAACCCAGGCCGGTACACAGCACCGGAGAGCTTTTACACCTATAATGCTCCACTGGTACCCGTATTTATGGATTATTGGATATCATTTGTGCGCACCTTGTCACCGAACCCTTACCGGAGTGGTGACGCGCCAGAGTGGCATCCATGGAACGAATCGCAATCCAAGTTGCTGATCGAGCTGGACAACTTGCACATGGAGTCTGTTGGAGAATCTCAGTTTGAGAGATGTGAGTTTTGGGAAGGGATCGACAGGTCCTTGAGTTCCGAATAAGATATCCAAGAAGGGCATATTTAGAGAGCATTCTTGGATACATAGGGTGTTGATGTGGGTTAAGTAGCCGTTGACGCGACTAATTGTCTAACATCTTACTGGCAGTCGATTATCATATACCGAGGGCAATCTTCTTCCTTTACTCTATAAAGGGTTTTTATGACCAATCTCACATCCTATGACTAAGTACACGATATTGATATGTCAGAGTATTTATTCTATCTCTGTTATCTCTGCCGAGTCTTCAACTGGATAAACTACCCCAGGTCACGGAATCGCCGTTATAACGAACAACAGCAGTGCTAAGGAAACAGGGGCAGTCTTCGTTAGAGAGCCGCCGTTTTTGCTTCCGCCAGTGGAACCAGTTTGACTCTGCGTAGCATTGGGTGGATTGATCGATGAAGAAGCGTCATTAACCCCAATAGCCGGAATGCCCCCCTTGGTGGCATGGTATTTGTTGTTATAGGGATAAACATTAGTGTAGTTGTAAGACCCCCTGGACGTGCCCCACACTGACTTGACTGATTCCAAGACGCCTCTGCCGGTGGCACACTTGGCTTCCGTGTCAGGTCTCGGCCACCACCCGGGCAGATCTTGTACATCGTTGAGAGGCCCAGGGTAGGACACATTCCACGACAAGCCCTGGTACGCAATGTCGGTGTTATTGTAGCCCACTTTGTTAGCCAGGACAGAGAACACATTGGCATCGCAGTCCCAGCGGCCGAGAGAGGGGAGATCCCAATTCACCGACACAGTAGACAGCATGGAATAGTGGTTGTAGTACATCTTGTCTGTGGTGCCGCGTAGGGACGGGTCAACCGCGCCTCCCAGGAGAACGGTGAACACCTTATTAGGAATGTCACCCTGTTTAGCCTCATCGAAGGTGACCACTATGAGAGTCCCATTCATGAAGTAATCATTCTTCAGAAGGGGGCCAAGCCACTTATGGAGCCATCTGCCTGCAAATGCAAGCCCAGTGTCGTGTCCATCATTGCGAATATTTGGCGTGAAGAATGCCCACTGAGGGAGGTTCTTACTTGTCAAATCTTGTTCAAAGTTGGTAAAATTCTTGATCCGAGCCATACGGGTCGCATTATTTGAAATAATATCGTAAGAGGATAGTGGATCGTGCTTGCGCACATAGCCCTCTCCATTAGTTCCCTGGACGTCGCTGTACGAAAAGTCTTCCTGATACTCAGCCCAGGGAATCTGCTTAGTGTCGAGAAGTTCAATGACGGTAGAGATGTTAGCCGGGATACGATGGTAGCGATCGTTCTGCAAGCCGAATGTGTCGCCTCCCACGGCGGCGATATAGTTGGGTTCCGATGGATGAGTGACTGCAGGGAATGTTAATTGCAGCGCGCTCACTCCCGAGAGCTTAGTATCTGACCTGCATAGTAATTCTCGAGGAGGACTCCCTGTCCAGCGAGCCAGCGCATGTCCTTATTGCCAGCTGCTGTCTGCATTGATGTAAGCGCCTGTCTTATATCACCTTGACATCCTATCATCCCATGAGGTTAGAGGTGGCACATACCTCGAAATTGGCATTCTCCAGCCATATCTGAAACATACGACTGAACCCCGCCCCTGGTACAATTGGCTCTTCAATTGCCCGCGGAACGGTGACTTGAATATCTCGGATGATTTCGACGCTTGTCTTTGGGAAGATCGAAGTAGTCAGCGTGGCGACGACTGATATGTCTCTGCCTATCGCTAGCGTGAGGATCTTGAGGATAAGATTGTTTAGGAAAGCCTTCATGTTTGTGATTTCATATCCGTTGACGGTTTATCAGGGATCTTGTAAGAGGCTTTCTGATCGGACGGCTCTGCAATCAACACCGCTACTGACTTGGATTTGTTTATCCGAGTATCATCAATAGACGTCATCTCTTTTGTCTTTCTGTTGCATGTAGTAGATGGAAATGGCGTTATGTGTGAGAAGTTTGTGATATTCTTCCCCTCTCATGAGGTTCTTCGGGTCAGTGTTATGGACGAAGAGACGGATGATGACCTCGGATGACCTCGGACAGCCGAGAGGCTCCGAATCCTTCGAAGTATTTGGCTTCAATTAGCTACAGATAATATAATGGAAAACTAGGGCTAGGAATAGGTTGATGACGAAGCTGGTGACGAGGCAGGTGGCGATGAACATCTATGACGACAGCGGAAAAGCTTCACAGCCGTCATAACCGCAAAAATCCGATATCCCGATATCCCGATACACGTGACAATCTGGGTTATCAGACAGCAAGATGACATTTTTTGCCCGCAAGTTCATGATTCAAGACATCGACAATGACCTAATTCATTGGTTATTAGGACTATTGTTCTAGGGTGCCAATTCCCCCAGGGCCTCGAAGCAAGGGGACCAAAATTTTAGACATGTTGGAGAAAGAAGTGAACTTGGTCGATGAGTGCCGTGTTATAATGTTCAGGTAGCTTCCGCAAGGGTGGTATTAAGGACGAAGAAGAGCAGTGTTTCTAACGAGAGGAATAGGAAAGGAGGAAGACGACTCAAATTTGCACGATTTCATCAACAACATGGTAACCTTATGAAAAGTACCATCAGCGCAAGATCTAGTCATTTGGATCAATGCCGGCTAATCACCTAAGCCACTCAGGTACTCATGCAGGTAAGATCAGTAAAGACGTGTATGTATGAACGACGCTCGGCTGAGTAATTTAGTCCGACGCCTGTCTCATGGTATATACATGGTGTCTACTAACGCGAATGAGAAAAAAACTCGCTGTCGGATGCTTTCTATCCCTCCAACATCGCTTTGAAAAGGCCGGCGGGTGCATTCTTCGGTGCAGAAAACTCGAGAACCTCTTTGCTCGTTGTGGATGCTGTGCATTTCCCCTCCCACGCTGTCTCACCAGCATGCCTAATCGATAGAATCACGCTCTTCGACTCCTGACTCTGGGCGGCCACATGTTCAAGAAACGACATATCTTTGAAGTGGACTTCTTCAACTTTAGTGCCAATTTCCTGTTCCACCATAGCCACAATCTGTCGCCCAGTGATATCCTCCGGTCCGTTTAAAACGTACTTCGCTCTGTTATGCGGGGAAACATCATCTTCGATCAAGAGGCGAGCTGCAAAAACTCCAACCTCATACGGATCAACAATACCAATAGGTGCATCCTCTGAAGCTAAGAGCCTAAGGGGATGCTGCTTCCTGGTTTTTCGAAATTCTTTAACCAATTCTGCAGCAGGATAAAGAGTAAAGTTCGTGAAGATATTCGGCTGCAGCGAAGTCCATTGCAGACGTTGGAACTCCGGCGAGCTCAACAAGGCCTCGATTGCCCAGTGCGTCCTGGGGTAGTAGGCAGGGCAATCTGGGCGCACATTCGCAGCAGTTGTTGAGATCCGAACAACGTACTCAATACCTGCATTAAGGGCAGCAAGATGAAACGTTGACTCTTCGGCGAATTGGTTGGGCTGGTTATGTGACGCGATAAAGGCCCTGACGACGTTTTGTTCCTGGAGCCAGTCTGCCGTGATGTCAACCCAGGGAAGTTCAGCTACTTCGACATTGGGTAAAGCGGCGAGTTGCTGTGCCACGGTTCCACTTGAGGAGCGTGTGAGAGCAAGAATCCTATGGCTGGAAAAGAGCTTGTTGGTTTTTAGAAGCTCTGACAAGGTTTTAACAACACCTGTCCCAGTGTTGCCCGTGGCGCCGACGACGAGGAGAGTAGGAGCCATAGCTAGAAATGATTCAATGGCAAAACGAATCTGCTAGGATGAAGTTGTACTCGGACCATGAGGCTCTGGTAGGTGAGGTGATGTGGCATTCCCTTAGGAATTTAAACCAGTTCCATTGTCTGAAGACCGAGTTCAAAATATCAAGCTGATTTGTAATAATTCCGCTAAGCGTCCGAGTCCCAGCCCTGTATAACGTTATATACTGTCGATGTGGAGAAGAAGCCCCTCCTTGTATCCAATCGTCATACCATGCAAAGGCATCAAAGCCCGTTTGATTAGAAATCAAGTCGCAAGAGTGTCTGTCACACAGGCCATATGTAACGTGTCTGACATGGAGTTCAATCCTTCAGTACCCCGCTTTAAAATAACGCAGTAAGGCCTACCCCCTCCACCGTTTTCTTTTCTCTCTGAATCGACTCGCGGGCGTTCGCCTGATTGACTGGTACCGATCGGCTCAACCGTTTGAGCTCCAGCTCGATGTTTGGAGAGTGATAGGGCTCGTGTCACAGAGAAATGGCCTAGGTCAGCCATTGGTTCCAAGATAACCGAGTGCCTGAACAACTCACCGGCTCATTTCCCGATGCAGGCGACAAAGGATGTCATTTCGAGACTTGAGTGGTGACACTCCCTATGCAGCAACTATCACAAGTCATGCGTTGCGGACATTAAGACAAGCTCTTGAGAAACAAGAATGTCGTAAGACTCTATTATATCTTGAGGAAGGAGCCTTATATAGCAGGACATGGAGTTCACATCGTTTGATCGCTGCCTGAATATCTTGCTGGAGGTCGAGGCGAGAAAGCCATTCACGTGAGCGCGTTCGACGGTTCCAAAAGAAAGAACACAATCCATGCATTGAGCTTCACTAATTGGAAGAATGAAGTCTAATTCGCGCAAAATTTGAAGGGAAGTAGTTATTACTTGTCCTCATCAACCTCGTCGAGGCACAATCGGTAATATTGTAAGGACCCCATCCTCAGGTGAGAGCCCTGCTCGCCAAAAGGCCTCCATTGGGGGCTATCGAGCATTCTAAGATTTCATTGGAGACTGTTTGCAAACCGCCACACACCAGTGCCGGCCTGTTTGCCATTGGGTGCAGCTAGTAGATATCGAGGTCTATGAAACTAAGGAGAGTCGCCTAAAGAAACCTGCCAGTTTTCCAAACAACCTCCTCAAGTGGGCAGGCCTCATAACAGCATGGCCAGGAATAATAGCTCGTCTTCCGTCCAACTCACTCCAAAGCACCTGTACTTGTCTTGCCGACAACAAACCCACTTCGCCGTCGTCAGAGGCCGCAATGATGCCTAAAGAGCGCTCTATTTTCTTGAGTAGATCGACAATGACTTCGGAGAAAAGCATCCCCTGTGTGCATGGGTTATCCAATGATAACCCGCCAATGTAAAGATTTGGGACAGCGACGATGGGGTCGGTAGCGATTTGCCCGACCCGAGTGGTCATGTATTCGAGGATCAGCTCGAAGAGGGAAACCAGCTGGGTAAAGATACTCGTGGAGATGAGCGCAAGGGGCGCAGACAATGGTTCGAAGCCGCCGATGGGGGAAGAGGAAATAAAGGACAGATTGCCTTGGTTGCTTTGATGTAATCCTGATGGTGGTGCCAGTATCTTCGGGGATGGGGTTTCTGCCGTCGGCGGAGCACCCAGAAGGCCACGAGATGGCCGACTGCTAAGTAGCCCTCTGAGGATCAATATAAAGTCTTGAGACGTCTTGACCATATACTCGGCCAGAGTCAAGTTGTCGATGTACAACGCGCCTTGCGGATAGATGACGCTGTTGAAGTCCAGAGTATTTTTATTCATTTCGGCAGCTGCAACACGGATGCTCAACTCGAGATTGATCTTGGAAAGGTCAAATAAGGCATTTGAGCTATTAAAGCCCTCCAATATCTCCGGCCTTGGAATCGTCAAGGTGTCGAGGCAACTGTCGGCGATCGATGCAGTTTTGGGGGGGGTTTCGAGTGAGTACGGGGTGGACGTGATGAGTCCGAGCCCTAAGTCGAGATCAAACAAGGAGTCAGTATGGTTCAGGCCGAAGCCATTATCCCATTCTGGTGAGTATTGGTCGAAAGAGTTCGTTCCAGAGACTGGCCATGTTGGCGCCGTATCGAGCGCATCATTCATGGCGGGAACGGACACATGTACGGGGGTCGTTTCTGGAGACACGATGCTGTCCCAACCCAGTTGAATCCCCTCTACCCATGGTGAAGCATTGCCTCGAGGCATGCTGGGAGGGGTTGGCTGTTGGGCCGTGGAGTTTCGGCTGTTATGAGCTGCCGCTCGCCTTGGCCGTCCAGGATTCCTCTGCTGCCCAGTGGTGCATTCGACGGCGAGCATCGTACACCTCGCGCATTTGGCATCGTTCCAGCTTAGGCGTTGGCATCTCGACTTGGCTTTCCTGCAGGCTTCGCAAGACAAACGCCTCTGTGACGGGTGGACGGACGCAAGCCCCATTTCGGTATGTCCCGATAGGTAAGTCGGCACGAGTACAAGGTGAGCGCAGAAAGATTTGATCAGGTTTGGATCTGGACCGAGATGGCAACGGATGCGAAAGGCACTGGGCGAGCCGGGTATAGGGGCGAGGGACTGTCTTTTAGTAAACCCTCCGCGGAGGGTTTTGGGAGATTACACTGGCCGCTAGGATATGGTGTGGAGTGACAATTATTTAACCTTCGGGAATATGTGCGTTTCATAGCGGAGGAAGAATGTAATTTTCCCGACCGTGGCAAATTCGTGGAAACTGGTTGCACCTGATACTGACGAAGCTGAACCCGATCTGCGATCTAGAATCTCAATCAGAGCGTTACCCCCAGACACTTAGTGCGTCCTAAGCAACCACGGGTATGGACAAATTGCCACCAATACAGTGAACTATCTGCAAAACTCGGTCTTCTAAGCTATTCTAAGCTACAGACCTAGTCTAGACGCTTGCAGAGCCTGGTGTTCTCCTCGATGACCTCCCAGTTCTCAGTGCCAACGGTCGCCATGGCGAAGAAGACCATGTCGGGGTCCCACTTCTGTCGAATCACCTTAAGCTTGGGGTATACAGCAGGGCCCCAGAAATGATCCGGGAAGTTGGGCAGGAATGGGTCTGCCTCGTTGATGTAGGCGTAGCCATTGGGGCCGGCCTCCCTCAGAGCACTGTCTACGACATAAGTCTGGACATGCTGCAGGTCGGCCTTCATCTCCGGGCTGGCATTTTGGGGAACACCCAGGACGGAGATGACGAAGTTGGTGGAGTTACGCCACCTGGGGTTCAGGGCGGCTGTAGTGGTGGGACGGCCGTGGCCAGGGTCGAACAGATGGCCGATAACGACACCAGCGTACTGGAGATCGGGACGGGGGCTTTGGACTGTGCGGAATGCCTCGATAATCCCGTCGTTGTTGTTCTCAACGTCCTCATGAGTGAAGCCCCACCCACCACTCACAGCGTGCAGACCGGCCCTGGCATCGTCTTCAAAGAGATCCTGGTAGAGGTCAAAGAAGCCGTCATATTCCTTGGTCATATGGTCGAAAGGAACACCGGCTTCCCTGAGCTCATCAAGCAAAGGCTTTAGGATCCCATCGAGCTCGGACTTCGTCTTGCCAATAGCGACAAAGGGGAGAACCTGGAAAGAAAAGGGGAGGAGCTCGAAGTAAACGTAGAGGCCGTTATCGACCATGTGGTTAGACCACTTGTGGAAGATACGGACACCCTCCCAAATAAGGTCCTCATTGGCGGTCAAGCTGCTGTTGATAGTGAGACTGCCACCGGAGGAAATAACCTCATCATAAGTGCGGAATGTCACCGAGACAACCACGCCGAAGGTGGAAGGACCACCACCGCGAAGAGCGAAGTATAGGTCTGGGTTCACCTTCTCGTTGGCAACGACAAACTCTCCCTTTGCGGTGATGACCTCAAACTGCAGAGTATTATCGGCAGCCAAGCCATAGACGGAGGACAGAGGGCTATGGCCACCTCCAGCAATGAATCCACCGGCAGGACCGACAGTTGGGCACTCCCCAGCAACCACGGCGAGGGGAGGGTTGTGAGCTTGGGCACTCCTCATGAGCTCATAGCCCTGAACGCCGGCACCGATGGTAATGGCGCGACCCTTATAGCTGGAGGGGCCCTTCCACTGCTCGTGGACGGTAATATCCTTCAAGCTGTGGGTGTTAATAACTAGGGTGCCCCAGCCGGTGCTGCGGCCTGCAAAGTCGTGGCCTGTATTGCGGATGGCCAGACGCAGGTTATTTCGACGGGCAAACTTGACACCAGAAGCGATATGGTGGCGAGTCTTGGCCTCGATGACATAGACGCCATAGAAGCCTAGGGTACAAGGGGACGTGGGATCATCGGTTGGCAGGCATGTAACGTTGGTCCAGTACTTCCAGATAAGGAGAGCCTGTTGGTTGATGCTGTCAAACCTGTTGGCATTCGCAATGCAAATTCGCTAATCAGTCCATTCACTTACGTCCAGGCAGAGCTGGTCCAGTTGGCAGTAACCTCAGCGCATTTCTCCTCGTTGTAGGTCTCGATAGGGCCGAGAGGGCTATCGAAGGTGTTATGGCAGGCCGCCTCGGGAGGGATATGGACGTGCAGGTTGCCATTGACCTCTTTGTTGAGGGCATCCCAGGCGCTCTGCTTGGGCCAGCAGTCGTCGCCTGGGTAACACTTGCAGCCGTATTCTTGCCCATTCCAGGTGCGAGGGACGAGGCCGCTCTTGGGTAGACCAGGGCGCAAGGAAATGGCAGCAGCCGACTGCGCGGCGAGAGCTGCGGCAGCGAAAGTGAGCGTGAAGGAAACCATTGGGTTGATTGCTGATGTCTACAATGCTTTCTTTGGGGGTGGTATTAAATGCAAAGGTCGATTGACGGGATAGTGATGAATAACATAGCTCCTCAGCAGGTTTCAACGTGCTTCTTATACCGTGAAAGGAGAGAAACCCTCGTCAAGCTAGACAGGACGCTTGGGGAGGCCGACGTCGCAACCGAAAGAGGTTAACTCGCAGGCAGCGATGCATTCGTACTGAGTTCTAACGATGATATACGGCGTGCCATAGTAGTAGTTCCTCGTCCCCGCGGCTAAGTTTCGATCTCCTGCCCCATCTGTCAATCCTCCGCTGTACTGAATGCGTTAGAAGATGGGGATAGGAGTTAAGTTTGGAGTAGACACCCCGGTGACCTGAGTGTTGCTTTAGTTCATCGAGGAAATTATTCTGCTAAGCTGAAAGAAGGTAGTTGTAAGAAACGTTTAACCGGAATAGAAACTCTAACCTGACAAATTGCGAACTAAACTAACCATAAGCTTAGTAGAAACTTTCACATTAACTAGAGTAATCTTAGGATTACCAGGGACCCTACCTCTTGGCTCATAATCAAGGCAGTATTATGACACATAAGGTGGATAGAATCAACCTTAGCGAGTGTAAGGCCTTCGGGTTCAGATACCGAAGCAAAGAGGGGTAGCAGCCTGTCACTACCCAGGCACGGAATCCCTGCTTGCGGAATGCCCCTTGTAAACCCTCCGCGGAGGGTTTGGGAAACCGGGACCTGCTTGACTGAAACTACCAAGTTAGGAATCGCCCGAATTAGTCTTCCAACGCCCGCTTAAAGTAGTTGTCAAACGGAGACCACCAGCAAGAGGAGTGTACATCTCTTTTGCCGTAGCGGCGTTGCGATTGTATTACATGGCCGCGGAATCGCTCAGCTGTCGTTGGATCTGAGAGACGTTTCCGGGATCATTAATAGAGTCTCCTACGACTGTCGGAGTGGCATACTTCTTGTAGGCAGACTTTGTCGCAAATTCATCGCTGATCCGTGCATAAATACTACCCGAGTTGCTGCTAGACCCATTCTGAGTCCCGCTCGAAGATTTAATGCCAAGCAGGCTCTGATCCACTCCGATGCCGCTCGTCACGGCGCCTTGGCCAAACAGCGGTCGGTAAAACTATCAGCCCATGGCATTCTGGTCATGGCCACTCCTCATCAGGGCGAAAAAAGCGTGCAGCTGGGGCAGGTTCTCGCCCATGCGGCCCATGGTCTTAAGTCAAAGGAAGAAGGGCAGCTTTCCTCCCGCTGTCAGCATCACGTACACCCTATTTAGTGGTGCGCTCTAAGGAAAATTAGTCTCTTTTGCTGGGCATTGGGACTTTCTTCATACACCTCTGTACAGATAGTGGTGGATAGATTTATCGGCGATACGAATCGGTGATACACTTTTCCTTTCAGTGTAGCGAATGGGTGTGTACTGAGAAGGTTCCGGAGGTTGGTCCAAAACGTGCCAGTTGGTACTAGCTTCGGCCTCTGCCGCCACTGTTGCCACAGTCTGGAAAGCTTCCGTGATTTCTTATGCTACTGGGAATAGGTAACAGCCCACGATCGGCCGACTTTTATTTGGATTATTAATTATTGACCGTTACACATGATAATTACACCTGGTCAATTTTTACGTCTAAGTCATCGGCGAAGTAGCTTATGTAAAAAGTCCGAACAAATAAGCTTTATTGATGTCCTTGTACAAAATCGCATCCGTCTACCCTCCCTAAAAGGAGTATATATATTGCGAACAAGCTCCTTTATAAACTTGGTAATTACTCAACAGTCACCATTCTCTCAAATACAGAAACACCAACAATCCAGTCTACACCTACACGAAAACATGGCTACCCGTGCTATTGCAGTCATTGGTGGTACCGGCGCCCAGGGAATGCCCGTTGTGAGGGATTTGGCAAGTTCTGGCACCTACACCGTTCGGGCCTTGACCCGCGACCCAAGCAGCTCTCGCTTCAAGGAGATCCAATCCTACGGCCCCCCTGGAGCTGTTGAGGCTGTTGTGGGCACATTCGCGTCCGAAGAAAACCTGAGGGAGCTCTTCCGCGGTGCCTGGGGCGCTTTCGTCAATATTGACGGGTTCAACTGCGGCGAGAAGACCGAAATCTATTGGTCGATTCGTGCGTACGAGCTTGCCATCGAAGAAGGAGTCAAGTTCTATGTCTACAGCAACCTCGCCTATGCCTACAAGCTGAGTGGCTATAAGCCCGAATTTCGTGGCGGCCACTACGACGCCAAGGGCAGAATTGGCGAATGGATTCTCTCTCAGAATCCAGAGGTCAGTCGACTCCACGGCATGCAGGCCGCACTGTTCTCAACGGGTCCGTACATGGACATGGCGATCTACGCCTACACGCCTATGCCCCCCCTTGTCGAAGATGGTGTTGTCACTTGGCGGGTTCCTCTTGGAGAGGGAGCCGTCCCCGAAGTTGCACTCGAGGATTGCGGATACTACGTCAAATGGTTGTTCGACCATCCTGAGCGCGCAAATGGGATGGACCTTGATGTGGCTATTGAGCACGCCACATACACCGAAGTCGCAGAGGCTTTTCAGAAAGTCACGGGCAAGCCAGCACGGTACATTGACACAAGCTTTGATGACTACTTCACCGCCGTCCCTGTTGCCGAACTCCCCACAGGTTATAACGCTGACCCAAAGGATCCGGCTACAATGAAATACCGAGACAACTTCACGGGTTGGTGGAATTTGTGGCGTCATTCGGCTGGGAACAAGGGCTTAATTCGGAAGAATTACGAGCTTCTCGACGAGATTTACCCAGGTCGTATTAGAACTGTCGAAGAGTGGTTTAGGCGCGAGGACAAGCGAGGCAGGGACCTGGGGCTTGGGAGCCTGTGGGAAAGAGTTCAGCCTGAGAATATTGGCTTTGTGCTCAAGATACATGACGATAACAGACAGGGGGCACTTTAGTTGTAGCCTCCTTAGCTATTTGTGATAGTTTATAGTATCTTATGATCGAGACCAGACTCAAACTGCAATTGCCATCAAGCTGTAGAAGTACCAGATAGGTATAGAGTGGTAGAGAATACTGAGGACACTAAGGCAACTATAAATTATATCTGCAAATAGTTTAGTATGTTCTTTTAGAGAGGGATTACATAACCATTCAGCCTTTAGGACGGAAATTGCTTAATTAATCAATAGCTGTTGCAGCTAACCTGGCTCTTTTTGCGTCAGGAGAAAATTCATACTTTAGAAATCGTCTCACTTTATAAACAGTATGCAAAGAGCTTGAGCTAGAGCTTCCTTGGGAATCCCTTTCTCTTCTTATAAACAAATTTTATCCAAGTCGCACTCAACTTTATTTATGGTATTTTATCATCACACACGTCTATATCCTACATGCAACCAGCACGTCTTTCCTCAGACTATAAAGAATCTACTTCTCAGCAGCACGTTCCTTTCGTTGAGAAATTTGTGCTAATCCAGAAAGGGTGGTAGTTTAGTCAATCATGCTACACCGGGCCTACTCCGCATAAGTCCCTATTGGGCACGATGAATCGCCTTATTTGTATGCCGCTGAACGGAGACGGATTTTTCCAACAAACCCGGGCCCGAAATCGCGGAGTTTAACTACCCTCCGTTAGCCGAGGGGACTAAATTATATCAATACCCAAGGGATGCTTCTGAATGAAAAGACCATTTCTCAATAGGCTAATTCTCAGTTTTGGGGTTTCTTCCACACTACCACAGCCCTCACCATGGCGACCTCCCTGAAAGGCACCTCCAAACAGCCTTATTTGCCAGAAGTGGCCGCCGTACTTGCTCAAGCGCCTGATTTAGCTGTTTGGGAAAGCGACGAGGATATTTTCAAAGCACGCAAGACGGTAGCAGCTTTGTACGAATATGAGAAATGTGCTATTCTGTCACATCCAGATTTCATTATCGAAGACCGGCTTATTCCAGGTCCCCGTGGCGATATTGTTATCACTATTCTCTCATCTAAAACCAGAAATACTGTCGAGAGCTCAAACCCTGGTATTCTGCATATTCACGCAGGTGCTATGGTTCTTGGGGACCGCTTTCTCAGTCTGGACCTCTTTACTAGATTCATCAAGGAACTTGATGCCGTTATTGTCACGGTCGAATATGGTCTCGCCCCAGAACACAAAGATATGTCACTCGTTGAAGACTGCTACGCCGCTCTCAAATAGTTTGGAGAGCATACTGAAGAGCTGCGCGTTGATCCGCAACGTCTCATGGTTGCTGGAGCATCAGCTGGCGGTGGACTTGCTGCTGGAACGGTGCTGTTGGCTAGAGATCGGAATGGGCCGAAATTATGTGGCCAGATGCTCCTTTGTCCAATGCTTGACGACCGGAGCAGCACCGCATCAGCAGCTCAGTTCGAACGAGAACGAGGTACATACTGCACTGCCCAGAACAAGAAGGCGTGGGAGTGCGTCCTTGGTGATCAGATCGGCCAGGATGATGTAAGTATGTACATTGCTCCCATGAGAGCTACGGATCTTTCCCGTCTCCCGCCCACCTTTGTTGATGTTGGTGGCGCCGAACCCTTTAGAGACGAGGCCGTGGCGTATGCTCTAGGATTGTCACGATGCGGCGTCCTGACAGACCTTCATCTTTGGGGAGGAGGGAGTCATGGCTTTGAGAAAACTGCTCCAGAGGCGGCGTCGTCAAAGGCGTCCATTCAAGCGAAGGCGGATTGGGTTCATAGGATTCTGAGTGTACTCAACTGAAGATGGTGTTTGCAATTGCTTCCATATTTTGAAGTATCCTAATGTGGAAACTGCATCTCCGCAACAGGTGGATGTTGCGGCCGTGGGATGTGCCATCTCCGCATTTTCCGCCCGCGGAATCCGCGCGAAAATCTCCGGTTCCGAAACTTGACTCGGTAAAGAGCCCCATGCCGGTTGTACGGACAGCCCCTCTAATTACAGTCAATATCTGTCGACATCATTTAGTATACGGCTGAGTACTTCGGATACATACGCTTCTCCGTTGTAAAAATAAAGCTGGAGTCGCATCTAACAGGAAAAGTATATTCAGATATAAATAGAAGCTCTTAACGAGTTCAGTACTTTAAGAATCCGGCTGAAGCTGGGGCCCAATTGGCCTGGCTCGACAACCTGGATCATTGCAATAACCTCTTTGTACTAGATGCCGCCGAAATATCCGTAGCTCATGGTACCTCGGGCCCGCGGAGCCGCGGAGCCGAGCAAAGAAGCCCACAAACAAACAAAAATACGCTGGATGTATGTATAATTAGCACCGAGGATGTGGGGACTGACATACGCCCGAACGGGGAGGGGACCCCGGATTTTGCCAGAGTTTTGCTCCCTCCCACGTCTTTTCATCTAACCAGCCTTTGCAGAGCAGAGCCATGCAGCGCATTTCAGATGCCGGCACTTCACCCATGGCTAGATTGCCTCGGAAACAGAAGAGCTCCGCGTGCGAAAGGTGCAATAAGAGAAAAGTGCGCTGCGATGCATCTGTGAGTGGCGTCCCATGCTCAGAATGCAAGCCGAGGCTGGAAGCCTGCACACTCCTTCAGTGGAAGCGAATCAGGTGAGCCAGGTTTCTTTCTCCGTCGTATTAGGCGGCTAAACCAACCAATCCTCTCGGTAGGGTAGCGGATGGTCGATACACACACCCCAAGCAAAACAAAAAGAATAGGAGGCATCAACGGCATGCGTCCCAATGTATCCAGTTTGCGAGCAGTAACTCACATCCATCACAACCACAAGGGCAACAGCCCCAGCATACGGCTTCAGCACCCACGACTGCCTCAGACCCAGACATCTCTTTTGATATTGAGAGGTTGCTGAGCGCCGAGCAGGGCTGTCCTTCTGAATCCGATTCAGACGGCGCTCGGTGCAGTTGTAGCTCTGCTGCTTCTGCTAGCTAGACATCCCCGGGCTCGCAACAAGGCATCAGGTCCAGCTTCACCGGGGAAAGTTGGTTTGTTTCTTATGTGCTGAGCACGTCTATGGCCAGTCCGATACAGGTTCACGGCCCAGTTGAAAGGCGAACAGAGAAGCCTCGACAGGGTGACAACGACAATTCAAGCAGCTTACCCTTGTCAGGAGGGATAACATCATTAGACCTCCCTCAGCCCTTTACCATAAGCTTGATTTGTCCTATTTTGGACCAAGAAGGTTTCCTCGCGTCAGTCAGAGATGGGAGTGTCTCATTGGCGCTTTTGCGCTGCGTCCTCTTCGTCGCGTCGATTCATTGTCCCCTTGAGCTGATATGCCAGATGGGCTATAACTCGCGGCTAGATGCCGAATCCGACCTGTTCAACAAGGCAGTCAAGTGCTCTTGGCCAACCGTCTGCGCCCGTCGCCAGAGTAATCCACAAATTCGCATATTGAAAGGCGGGTCGTAAAATCCATCGCCGAGATTTATCAATCGGCATAGGGGGTTTGCCGTGGTGTGGCCATGGCCGAACCTTTGCCATACCATTACCGTGCCGTGACCGAATAAAAGCGCTAACCCACCGACTACCTCAGCCATGCAGATCAGTAAGGCGGTTGAATAGCTTCCGGAGCAATAGCTAGCAGACGGTCCGGACTTTAGCGATACTGAGACACAGAATGTCGATCTGCGTTCATCACAGCTCTTTGAAGCGCGGCGCACCCTTCTTCAAACTCAAGAGACTCGCATATAATTATTGAGGGTGCTGGTGCTGAGCAATTGGATTCGCCAGGTGCTTACCATGTTTGGGTGGATATTAAAGGCAATGTATAATCCCCACCGATGACTGCAGTACCCCGAGAAACAGGAACTGTGAAGTGGCTGATATAGCAGTAGTGGAGGATGAGAAGAAGTTGGCGGTTTGCAGATAATCAGTCTTTGCAAGGCTGTTAGTCAATACACATTAAATAGATATGAATCCAGGAAGCGTCTTGAAACAATGAAACGTACCTGTAGATTGTAAAGCTTCTGAGATACGGGGTGAGATGAGGTTAGCCACCAAGGGGAGTTGTTTAGCGTCCTGGCTTGGGGCCATCACTCGCCCTTCACACACAAAGATAGTTGATGCGGTCATTTGAGGCTCTTGGAAGTAGATAGGTACAGTAGGCAGGATTATCAAGCCACGCTTCTCTCCCAGTCTTTTGTTTGTCTCGACTGAGCCATCCGAGGTCGATCGGTTAAACTATTAATCCGCTCACCCTAACTACCATTTTGCGGCCCAGGATCATCTTGAACTCTTTACAATCTCGACACACAGCCAACAACTCTCATGTTCACCTAAGCGATGAGATCTACAAGGTACTCCACCACTCGACAAAAAGCTTGCCAGCCCTGTGCAATTGCTAAAGCAAAATGCGACCGGAAGCCTGAGTCGTGTACTCGATGTTCTAACCGAGGCTTATCCTGTGTCTATGCACAACCACCCGGACTTCACTCTGACCCCGACGCGAGTGAGGAGCCTGGAATTTCAACTATCTTTAGCTCGCCGAATGTTACTGTCACTAATGACACACTCTCGGTTTCCGAACACGAGCCAACGGCACCTATCACTGGTATTACGCCAATAAGTCTGGAAAATGATTTGGGATCGCCGGAGGCCGTTCCAATACCCCAGGCAAAAAATCAGTCCTCGACAAAGCCAGCATTTAGCAACAATTATTATTCCGATACCGAAATCCCATCAGACTACAACAGGTTCCAATTCTTCAACCTTGATCTTGTGTGCAATATCAACGCCGACGACATATCCAACAGATGGCTCAACACGTATGTTCCTATCCCTGGTCAAGCGACCAAGAACTACAACCCGAATATTTCAGCTTTTATCCATCGAACGTTGAAGTCTTACGCAGACTCAGCAGTACGAGGCCACAAAGTCCCACCTTTCATTCACCCTGCCCAGATCACCACGTCGATAAGCCAGCCTCTCTCAACGTGTCTGTCAGTCATACGAATATGTCAAAAGCCGCTGACAGGGGGTGAGGAGGTTGCTATTGAGCTACTTCAACGGGAAATGACAAAGATTTACGAACGACAGGCAATCTACGATGATGTAACCTCACTTGCGGCATTCCAAGCATATCTCATTTATGCAATGGTGCTGTTCTTTCGGCTCGGAGACGGTACAAAAGCTTTTCTTCGTCAGGCCCTGATGAACCTTCAGGAGATTGCCTGCTCGACATGCCGACTTGGCCTGACATGCTTGGCCGAACAGCAAGGCACTCGACCGAAATGGGAAGCTTGGATATTAGCGGAAGCGAAGCGTCGGACTTTATTTGCCATGTATCTCTTTGACAGCGCTCTCTCGAGGCATGACGGCCTTCCAACATTCCTCGGCACTGAATTACAGGGGCTACTGGCACCTGGGATGAAGAGATTATGGGGTGCGCCAAGTCGGCGAGACTGGGAGATCAAGTACAATGCCCATTTAGCGGACTGGTCGGATGGGTTCCTCCATATTGAGGAACTTTGGCCAATGCCGAGTGACTGGGAAGAAGAACGGATTGTGAATCGTCGGAGACGGGTTGATTTGTGGCTTGAGGACCTGGATGAATATGGTACGATGATGTATGCAGTTACAAGTTGTAAGCATGGTGGTTAAGTTTTGGGACATCTTTTCGGATATTCTCGTTCTACGTGTACCACCAGTGAGTCTAGACTGTTGCATCAAGACTGTGCAAGCATCTGCAGCGCCTCTTCAAGAGAGATGGCCCGGAAGTGCATCTTCTCTAAAAGTGCAACCAGAGACTCCTTCGAAACGGGTGCACCTCCTGGTAGCTCCATCACATTGTCTAGAATAAGGTAGACATTATAATCCAAGTCGAACAGATGATAGAGAGTGCTCATTACGACACCCGAAATGGTCAAGCCGGACTGTGTGGAAGGTCAATCCCGCTTTACTTGTGGGAGCTGAAGACTTGCAATGATGACAGTGTCAATATTTTGTGTCCTCAGAATCTGCTCGAGGCTGTTTCCAGCGCCTGCGTACCATCTCGTCTTCTGCAATACAATATCGCCGTCGTGGAGCACGAATCTGGGGTCAATTTGGGTGGCCGCGGATCCCTTTTCGAGACCGCCAATTCCTTCTATCACTTTGGAAAAGGGACTCTGCCTGGCCAGCTCTGGTTGAGCTTCTGTCGAGAAGTAGAGCGTCGTGAAAATCGTGAGAGGCCTTGGGGTTTTCTGGTGAACCGCATCGTTCCAAGCGATGCAATTAGATATGAAAGACTTTCCCCCGGTAGAGTCTTTGACTGTATCGACCAGGAGCGTCATCAAGTCCAAGTTGAGGACGGCATAACACTCCCCAAAACTCTCGCAGCCTGGATTTGGGACGCCTTTGAGGTTCATATTTGGCAAGTGTATCTGTCGTATGTAAATACTCATCTCTGGCAATGTGAGATTACCGTCTCAAATACCTGCTGTCCAAGCAGTGTCAACTCCGGAGGCCTACGTCACAACTCCGCCGGTCCGCCCCGGAGTTGAGGCCTCAACTCCGGACAGGGTGAGGGGAGTGGACACACCGGCTAACTATTGTCCTCTAAGTTGAGGCAGAACGTAGACGCAATCAGCTATAAATAATTTGCTCTTTATGTCGCCAAGCTATCTCGTCCCTTTGATACTACCAGCACCAATTGTTAGACAGCTTGAACAAGGTGAGGAGTGGGTAGGCTCCTCCGAATTGCGTCTGATGTTAGTCCGGACTTCCGCTGAAAAAGCCTGCTCATGTGTGCGACCGTGCTCAACTCCGAAATTTACCACGCTTCTGTCGCCCCAACTTCCATTCTAATGGCAATCTTCTCAGGTATATAGATGATAGATTGAGACATCAACATTTCTCTCGTCTTGATCATCTACTACACTATACCAGTAACCATTGCCTTACAAAATAGATCTATCAGCATGGCCTCTGAAGACCCAGAGCAATCCGGCTGCCCCTCGCCAACACCTGCTGAACAGCATGAACTGTACACCATTTTTGACAAGTGGCAGAAAACGATAATTGTCTTTATTGTGTCCACTGCAGCTACTTGTAAGCCCCTTTCTCAAGCAAAGAAAAAAACAGTGTTTACTAACCCGCCAAAGTCTCTGGCTTCGCATCAAATATCTACTTTCCCGCTCTTCCCACCATCGCCCACGACCTCAACATGTCTGTCGAGCTCGTTAACCTCACGGTTACGACATATCTCATATTTCAAGCCCTCGCTCCAAGTCTCTGGGGGCCAATTTCAGACGTGAAAGGACGGCGCATAGCATATTCTCTCACCTTTCTGGTGTTCCTCGGGGCATGCATTGGGTTGGCCGAGGCCAAGAGCTACACCACGTTAATCGTGCTACGATGCCTTCAGAGTACTGGAAGTGCGAGCACGATAGCAATCGGAACCGGAGTCATCAGTGACATTACTACTCGTGACGACCGAGGAGGATACATGGGTATCTTCCAAGCGGGACTTCTTGCACCTGTCGCTATTGGGCCAGTTATTGGGGGCGCCTTGGCCGGATCTCTGGGATGGAGAAGCATTTTCTGGTTCCTGACTATCTACGGTGGTGTCTTTTTGGTGTTGCTAATCCTACTCCTACCAGAAACACTGAGGTCCATTGTCGCTAACGGGGCGACAGTCCCGTCAAGCGCCATGGCAAGATACCCTCTCGTCTTGTATCAACGAACCACGAAGCTGAAATGGACATCCGAAACACCAACGTCTCGGCCTGGCGCTCGAAAGCACATCCACTTGGCGGGACCATTCCGCATACTCACAAGCAAACTCGCCGCCCCGGTCATGGTCTTTCTTGCGGTTTACTATGCCGTGTGGCAAATGAGTATTACAGCCATGTCGAGTCTATTTAAGAGCAACTATGGACTCTCGGATAGAGAGATTGGCTTAACATTCTTGGGCAACGGCGCGGGATCGATTATCGGGACGCTGGTAACAGGAAAAATTCTCGATGTCGACTACCGTCGTGTCAAAGCAAAATTCGAAAGCCGGACAGACCCTGGAGATGGAGACTCCTCAGCCAATCTCGATTTCCCTCTCGAGCGCGCACGTCTTCGTCTCGCTCCGGTCTTGTCTCTCCTTCAGTGCATCTCCATTGCCGTCTTTGGCTGGACGATTCAATACCCTCACCGCGTGCATATCGCCGTGCCCATCATATCAACGTTCATCACAGGCTGGGCTGCGATTTCCACGCAGTCTCTCGTCATGACTTACCTTATCGACCTGTTCCCCAGTCAAAGCGCAGCCGCCAGCGCAAGTCTCAACCTGGCAAGATGCCTTTTTGCTGCTGGTAGTACCAGCTTCATCATGCCGATGGTGAACAACATTGGTGTAGGGTGGGCGTTTACTACCTGCGTTGGCGCTCAGGTTGTGGCCTTGGTTGGTGTTTTTGTACAGTTCAAGTATGCCAGTCATTGGAGAACCACAGACTGTGGAATGGATACGGAATAATTAATTTCCTAGTTGAAAAACAGGCTGGGTTTTCCAAAGTGTTTTGCATCACGGCGGCGCAGTAATGGAGATTCATGATTATCACCATTCAAGCAGGTAGATGTTATGGAGGTAGAATAGATAAAATAACGACGGAGACAAAATGCCCACATATGGAGTTTGAGAGCTCCTAGTGTTCTAGGACACCCTAACCTCGTGATATATCCTACCTTCAAGATTATACAACATGCGTCCCAGCCTACCCTATACCTCCGCACAGAATAACCCGGATTGTTGTAAACATCAATAGAATAATAAGTAGAAATTAGAAAGCTTCCATATACTTAATACTAGTATATATATTAGCTTAAATTAGTGGAGCATACCTATAACCCTATAGTACCTCGCTACATCCTCATCATCTGCAGCTTCCTTAGCCGCGCGGTCAGCCTCGACATTCAACTCGCGGGGGATCCTCCAAAACTGAATCGCCAATCCTCTATCTTGCCATCTTTCAGCCTCCCCTAGGAGCATCTCCCACAGATCCTTGTTCTTAACATCAGCGCCAGTACGGGTTGTCCATCCGTTGCGTACCCAGCCGCGAATCCACTCGGTGGCACCTTTAGCGACATATTCCGAGTCGGTGGCAAGGACCAGCGTGCTGAAGCCCTCGCCTACCCAGTGGCGGAAGCGTAATGCGGCGAGAACGGCTCGCAGTTCGGCGCGGTTGCTAGTCTGGCCGTGTTCGTCTCCAAAGGGGCCATTGTTTTCGAGGCGCCCGGATATGATGCCTGCAGGGGTTGTTGACGCCGGCCGGAAGACGAATGCCCAGCCTGCTTTGGGGTTGGCTTGTCCGTTGTTGAGGCACGATCCGTCGGTGTATATGAGGAATTGCTTAGGGTCGTCGCGGCGTATGAATCGAGTGACCTCAGGGATGGCTTGATGACTGATGCCGAGAGGGAACAAGCTGTCGGGTGTACATGCTGGCGATGGCGGCACAAACTTGGTGGGGAGCACTCGCCCTGTGCCTCGTCTGAAGCCATCTGTAAGAGCAGGGCTCATACTCGCAGTATGATTCGGGGGCCCCCATCGTGCATCAATCTCAGCGCGGCCTTCGGGACTTAGTTGATTGTAGAGCTCCTGGGCCTCTCGCTCGGCCGCTTCATCCGAGTCCGCCAGCACCTCATCCATAAAGCTGTAGTCGACGCAACAGCGTCCGCAGACCACTAGACGGTGTAGACGGTGTTGGATCCGTTACGAACTATTCGATCAAATGGATAGGGATCAATGCAGTGATGATGATGTTGATGATTGCTTCTCCTCGTCATCCGGATCGGCCGGAAGAGGGGTTATCATACCCTCCCTTCTGACTAAGGTCCGGATATCAATCTATCAGAGGTTTCGTTATACAGGGTCATGTTCCAACAGAAGAACTAACCTTCTTAGTATTCTATTATAATATTTATTATATATTATATAAATACTATCTGTATTTAATCTAGTAAGCTAAACTTACTATTATTAAATTTTAAAATACCAGGTCGTACTGTTATATTATGTCTAGTTATATTAAACGGCCTTTCAATGTATTATTAACTCCCACGTGCTTAAAAGGCGGGGAGTGTGCTCAGTTAGCTCCCATAAGTATGCATTCTTGGTCAGCATGATACACATACGCAGTCAAGGGCTGGTCCCACTGGTAGCCAACTTTCCCATTGCGAGGTCTTAGTCGTCGAGCTAAGCGACTCCATGGCCGCGTGGTTGGGAAAAGAACCAAAACTCCCAGATGTCTGGCATCGGCCTTTGTGACTTAGCGTTGGGGATAACCCGGGACAGCCTCCACCACGTTCGGCCGACCAAGCGGCCACAGAACTCAAGCGGCAAAAGCTGGACCCAAAACAAATGGCTCATCTCTAGGCCCAAGCAAGAATTCCTTGGAGAACGACTATTAGTCAACGTTAGTGCCGCATCTCTGATCTAGGTAAGACGACGTCAAGTTAGTGTGCGGATTCCCGCGCGTGCCAAGTCATAGAAACATCTGGACCTCAGAGAGGGGGCGGTCGGCGGCTATCGCAGTCATGCATGTCATTTCCACAAACGACACGGTAGCAGTCCATAATCTTAAGCATAGGGAGCACTGGACGAAGGTAGCCGCTTGTTTCGACGAGAATCGGCTGAAAAAGATACCGCCACCGTCGGGACCAGACCGGGGAGCGAGGGAGGGAGGGGTCGTCCTCACCAGAAAGACATTGAGACGCCCGCCAAAGCATAAAAGGCGGGCTGTACCCAAGGTTCACTACGCTCTCGTCATCGAAAGGATTTTTCCTATTCAATCTGAATACCCCAATTACAATACAAAATGTGGTGCTAGAGATGGAATTAAGGCGTGAATAATTTTCCATCGATGGAGGAGAGGGCACTGGGAGTCATGCCGCTCAGCAGCACGGCGAACACCATTCTTATAAGGGGGACATACCAGGCAGACCTCATCTCGGCGAGGTGTTGACGTCGAGGTTGGAAGGAGAGGGATCGACGACCGTCTATCTGCTCAGATGTTTCTTGTTACGGCCTCTCCCGTAGCGCAAGTTGATATTTCCTTCTTGGATGAGGATGTGTATCAAAGAAAACAATTTTCATGCTCTCACCTTGATGTTGTCACTAGTCTCAACGAGCTGGCAGCATTCGTCATCCGTGGATGCCGCGGCAATAATCACTTACTCTTGGAAGTAGTACTCGTTGCATCGCAGTGACATTATCCCTTTCCGACATGGTTTTCAGCATTCTCTTTGCGATGACTGAGTACGTCTTGTATCCTGCATTCATCAACGTATCGCCTACACGTCCTCCATGATATTTGCCCGACTCTCGTTGGCACTCGGTGACTGTTTGGCTCATGTGACGTAAAAGATGTGTGATCCAACGCTCTGCCGAATGTTCTGCATCCGACCAAATTTACTTGATAATGTTCTTGGAAATCTCTCAGTATCGGGTCTTCGGCCTTCCTTTCCATATTTCGCTTCCAGATTCATGAACGGGGGCGACAAGGAGCTCGCGTACCAATCCAAGACCTACTGAAATTCCGCTAGTGAACGGAGTGAACGATCTTAGTGCAACAGAGTCATTCTAATCATGATAATACTGCCTCACAATGTGTGAACAAAGGTTTCAAGACGAGCCAGAGGCTTTAAAGGGTAAAAGATTAACTCTGACTTCAATCCTTATATAAGACCCACTACTTCTTAATTGCTTCGACGACTGCATCGATTAGACCTAGGAACATCGGATCAAGCTGCTTCTGCAGTTCTTCCTTAACCAAGCCTGGCAGAAGGGCCACCTCCGCCTTCCACATGAATGTGGTCTGACTTTCACTCACAGCCTCCAGCTTCATAGTACCAACAGCTTCCGTTATTAGATCGTTCCTGAAAACAGAAAATCGGACCAAATAGTTTTCACTGTCAACGAAGTCCAAACGCTCCCATGCGACACGCCCAGGTTCGTGAAAAATATACGTGCGCACACTACCAATACCAAAGCCCTTGAGATCGACACTTTTCATATCTGGGAACCATAGCTTCTCGCATCCAAATGACGAGATAACTGCCCATAACTCGCCAATAGGCACATTGACGATTTTGGTTACAGAACTAATCAGTTCAAGGACCATTCTGATTCCTTGCTATATTCAACTATTAATTTCCTATGTTGAAAACTGGAATGAATTGGCTGAATACTCACAGTAGGTCTTGAATCAAGACCAGCAGCTAGTTGCTTGGTAGACACTGATAGAATGCGAAAGTGAGAATGTCTCGATAAAGAATCGCCGCCTCCCCTGAGCGTAGAAGAATTCAGAAACAGGTTTCATTAGTTGTTCTGAATTGCGCCAGTCAACGGGTTATTGGAATTAAAACTTCACTAAACGTTCTCTTTTTAAGGCCACCATCCTTGGTATCCAAAGATCCAGATCCAAGGATTTGAAATCGGAAACGTGGATTTAGGTGTCTCCAAGATTACTGAGTACACTGGTACAGTCAATGCCCCTATTGGGGAAGTCTGAGCGCTCCTCTCTGCCTTTGGATCGCCAAAACTTTGGATGCCCGATTGCATCTTGACAACTGTCCAGGGTTTCGGTATTGGCTCGAAGCGGGTCATTGCCTTTGGCGCAAACCCGGACGTCATGAGCCAGGAAACTCTCAATAGCGTCGACATTCAACGCTATAGCGTTCGTCTTCACATAACCCGAGATGACCTTCCTGGGATTGAATCATACGCAACCTTTTTCTTAAAGCAAACTTCTCGTCACAAGACGGAGATGACATGGTTAGCGGAATCGTCAATTGGTGACGAAAAGGGCAGGGCTGACCTAAAATTTTGGTGTGATCAAACTTACCGGGGGTTTGAAGCAAGCCTCAACAAATTGCTGGCGGAGTAAATTCTACTATAAACTATCAAGGCTGAAAAGTATATTTAGCCGTGCTCATGCTCGCACACATAATCCTAACGCTATTATTCCATTATAAATCGTCATCTACCCTCAATTCCCGGCCTGCCTTGTGAAAATCATCCTTCCCCTTATAGGTGCTAAGAGGGACGCCATCCTAGCCAACGGATGGAGTGACAGCCCTGCAATTAAATCATGTAGATAAGGAAACGCTTTATTGCCGAGATATTTGCCAGATTTAGTGAATCCGATGTTGACAACTTGGCTCGATGGTGGCTCCATACAAGCCTGCTCGACGGTTTGCTATTATGGGAATTCCGGCCTTACACATTACCCTTCAAGATTCTGCGACTTTGACCACTTATGGCAATCCGTATTGTCGGACTTGACACCATCAAGGTAGGTATGCACAGGTTTTAATTAAATCAGAGGTGATTTACCGATGGGCTAGGTTTTTTTCAGCGAGTACAGCTACTACGTATAGTACTTTTTAAGGTCAAGTTCGCCCCGAGCTGAGTCAAAAGCCACACTAGTCGGCTTCCGGAGAGTTAGAATTGCCGCCACTTCGGATCCTGGATATTCCGAATAGCGACGGACAATTCCAGAAGTCCGTTTACCCGGCCCAACAAGGATGGAGTGGATCTCGGGGATTGTGCCACCAGCACCATTGAATTGACTGTCCGCTCCATTAAGGGCGAGGTGCTGAAAAAGAAACAGTGTTCTTCGTAATTCGATCATCTTAATTTGTTGCAAGATATTGTTTCGTTCCAAACAACAATTACCTAAGCTCTCATTCGTTAACTGATGCCGAGACATTATCAGCTGCGAGTCGAACTCGGCGTATTTCCCATCCCTTGCATTGTGCTTTTCTTCTCTTTTCTCACCCCATTCCTTGCAATTCTCCTGCACTTCCTGTCAACGTTCCAGGTGGGGCAGCTACGCAATCTCTTCCGACAAAAATCACGGCATCAAGGCCGGGAAGCCAGTTCCCTCCACCGAGAAGCAACTATCCTCCCGAGGCTGATTCAACCCCCTCAATCCTGAAGTTAGCAAAACTCGCGACGATTGAGAAGAGCAGGTGTACGATGTATCCCTCGACTTGGCCAGACGGTTGATGACACGGTCCTAGGGCGGCGATGTGGGGTCTGGAAAGATTTCGTCATGAACGTGCGCGTGTCCCTCGACTTTGTCGAGAGGTTTTACAAGCAGGACGGGCAGGGAGCTGGAGGACGTAAGGTATGCTTCCCTGTTGCAAAGTCCTAGGCTGCGGCACGTATGTACTAACTTCTTAGTCTATGGTTGGTCTCAGCACCATGATAGCCTATATGCGGCAAATGGCGGCCGATCGCCCGTCGTATGGCATAACCAAATTGGCAGGTACGGACTATCTTCAACAGCTTGCGTTGGAAGTCAAGCCGGAGGACATGCAGATCACCCTCTTCCATCCCGGCATCATCTTCACAGATGTTGCTATATCGGCAGGCTTGGATGGGTCTTCCTACCCATGGGACGATGGTGAGTCCAGGCTGAAGCCACGAAAGTCGCTGAGCAAAAAAAAATCCACATGCTAATTCTTGTCTGAAAGAAAACCTCCCTGGGCATTACGCAGTCTGGGCCGCAAGCCCCGAAGCCGAGTTTCTTCACGGTCGCTTTGCCTGGGCCGCCTGGGATGTGGAGGAGCTCAAGGACCTCGTCAAGGACGGCGTGAAGAAGAACCCCAACCTTTTGCGGGCTGGCATTGAGGGTCTTACCGCGACCGTAAACGGCTTTAACTGAATGGTATAGCCGCAATGAGACAAGCATTTAATCGATTGGGCCTCGGAGATTGCGTGCAAAGACAACAAACTACCGTAGAAACCTAGTTAATAAAGTAGCGCCTCCATATTGTCTTCATATTTTTACTATTAACCGCAGAAGTATCCATAAGCACCTGATTTTATTGATAAGGTGATGTTTCTCTTGTAGATTAATGAGATGCATCTGTTACCTTTAAAAGCAGCGGCTGTTGCCGGTTTGTGACCGCAACAACTGTATCTTAGCTCGAAACCGTTTTTATACGAGTTTAGCTCAACACTCTTGGTACTTATATTTTTATTTCATTTTCTTTTCTAAAACAACGGAACATTCTAAAAGTAAGGTCCTATAGATAAAAGAAGTGAAGATCTCTCAAAGGAATGGAGTGACCCGTGATGCTGTACTTGGGCCCGGCATCAAGCATTTGAGACGGAATTGAAGTGAGGCTCCCCAAAAATACAGGAAATGAAACAAGTTTCAACCAACAAGTCCAGAATCGCCGATGGCGTCTCATTTGAGCGTTTCCGCTTCCAACACAATTTACAAACCAGAAAAGAAGGCTCGGACATGGTCCACCCACAGTTCCGTCTCGGAGATGGCAGGGTAGTGGCCTCCGGACGCGTGGCGGTTGAAGTAGACGACGTTGGCTCCGCGCTCGACCCATTCACGGGGCTGCAGACATGTTAGCATCAGTCTGATCTCCCGAGTCTCTCCGGTCCTTGTACTCACCGCCAGGGTCTGCTTGTCCAGCTCGGGCCACGGTCCGCCCAGGTTGCCCCATTGGGTGACACCGGTTTGAACGCCGGTGTTGGGATATTGCGTGAACTCGGGCTGGGAGTCATGTTAGGCACGTCTCAACGATGATTTTCATGGAACCAACCTGGAGAAGATCACTGTACGCCCGGATTGCGCCAGTGATGGGCTGCGCGTAGTTCAGCATTGTGTCCGTAATGAGCTCCTCGTAGGTGTACTGGTATCCGGCGCTGGAGCCCTCCTTGAGATCCCAGAGCCAGCTAGCCAGTCCGACTGGGCTGTCGACTAATGGCAGCGAGATTTGCTGGGGCTTCTGGGTCTGGATGATGCCATAGCCGTAGTGCCTCGAGCCAAACGCGGCAGACCCCGCGATAAAGGCGTTCTCCTCCTCGGTTGTCTCGCCCCTCTCCTGGCGGGCAAGATCCTCAGCTGTCGGGCTCACAAGAAAGAAGTCGGTAAAATGGGCGCTGATGCTGTCTTTGGCAACCTCAGTCATCCACATGCCGATGGTCCAACCAATGTCAGTAGAAACAAGGCCGTATGTAGTATACCCCAACTGTTTCATCAAGGCATCGAAAGCGCGACCCATCTCCTTAGGTCCCATGCCCGGCTGGGAGGCGGCGGGGCTAAACCCGAATCCAGGCAGGTCGGGGGCTACAATGTGAAAATTCTGTTTGCCTTTGCCTCGGGTCAAAGGCTGGACAGTTTGAACCCACTCGTAGTGGGTCGAGGACCACCCGTGGAGGAGGAGAAGCGGGATGGCATTCTTATCAGGCGACTTCTCGTGAACGAAATGAAGGGGGATTGACGCGGTATAGTTCCCGTTGCCTGGGAGCGTAATGGCGAAGTGTTTAAGCTCCTTATTCAGGCGCTTTTCGACCGTGTTCCAGTCATATTTCTTATCCCAATAACGAGCGAGGTCTACAACGGCCTGCCCAGGGGGTCCTCTAACAGTCCAATCGTCATCTACCGAGATGGAAGGACGATAATCACGGACCTTGCGTTCGACCAGCTTGACAAAATCCTTATCAAGTCGAATGTTTAAGGGCTGGGGCGAGGTCGTCTTAGGAAAGTAGAAGTCGAGCCCCGGGTACCCTGCCGGGTTCGGCGCGCTGGCAGCATCGACTGAAGCTACCAGGAGGAGCCAGAGCGAGGAGAGTGTTTTAACGACGCCAGGGAGCATGGTGGAATTAAGAATATACTGCAGAGGAGATGAAGGTTGGTGGTGGTGAATGGTTATAAAATCCGGACAGATGGCTCGTATTTATGTTAATTTACATAGCTACCCAGAAGCTATTACGAACACCGTCTCGATGACCACAATGGCATTCCCCTCATTTCTCCCGCATCTCAATCACCGAATGCTTGATTTGTAAGTCGGCATACGAAGTGTATGAGCTCCCCGAGTGGAGGAGCCTATATCCATTCGACAAGGATGCCTCAAAAGGTTTCTGAGCTTCGCTAACGGCATCGTGAAGCCAGCTGATGTTGGCGTTGCCACCATCCACTCTGTCGACAGTGCCGTGCTACTTCCCGTTTGCACATCCCTGATGATGGTGCTGTCCATTCCGAGGCGGTTTAATTAGCTCCAAGCAGCCGATCGACTAAGCAGCGCATCAAACGCTACATGTTGTTATGCCAATAGCTCCGTCAGCCATTCATTCGCCCACCTGCATGTGGGGAGTTCCTAAAAAGGCAATTCCAATACTTGGCAGCGGGGCCGCACCATGCAGTTAGTTGAGTCAGTTGCAATCAGCCTTTCAAAGCTGACAAATGCATCTTTCAACCTCCATCTTACCCTCCCTTGTTCATCAATTATTCCACTCTCCAAATCCCTTGCCACCAGAGATTCCCACTCAACGATCCAACTTGCCAAGCGTTGGATATGCCGCTTCAGTTACAATTCGTCGCCGTCTCTAACCCGACGGGGCCCGTCCCCTCCGAGTCGCGAAAGTTGTGTCATTCGCACGCCACTCGACAAACGCAT